ACCTAGACTTCCGTCCAATCAAACCAAACCACAATTACAGCCGCACTACTTTACTGGAGTGAAACCAAAACCATGCACGAACTTCATTTTTAGTAATCCTACGGCGCTACTTTACGTTATCTTCGGTGTTCTTGAACCCATTGACAGCGTCTGTCTGGGATTGGCCGCCAGAAAGTTATACATGGTCCACCGAAGCCTGTTGGGTTCGGTGCCCCACAACGTCAATCGGGGAGCTTCATGCGTTAGTTCGCCCAGCTCAAACCCTTCTCTCCTCCTTCCAGAGGCTCTTCGTCAACTCTCCTGCCCGAAGTGCGAAGGCCAGCGATGCGAGCTTCATCACCACATCAAAGAATGGATTGGCTTGGGTCTGGAATACTGTGCTGTTTCATATACCCTCATAGGTGGCCATAGAGGTTTCTCTGTGAGCCATCCTGGCCCTCGAATATTTCCCCGTGAGAGTCATACAGCAGTCAACAAAATGCGCCTCCAGGCGGCAAACTGCGAAGAAAAAAGGTTAGAAGGGAAGGAAGACTGTGCTGTTTCGCAGGCTTTTCGCCCAAAAGCGCCTCGCGATGCTGTTGTTTGGTGTTTTAGAAATATCCCTAGACAAACAAAGAGATGTGGGCAGCACGATGGAAGAAGGGCATGGAAGGGTAAGGCGCTTGATAGCGGAAACAGCAATGGACAGACATGCAGTATCATAAAGCTAGCCGGCGAATACATTCGAAATATTATTTGTCATCATTCCCATTGATTATTATCAGCTTGTGTACCAGCCAATGATACAACCATCAGACACCAACCAAGAACAGAAATACGAATCATCTTGCTGCTCCGGGCGCCGAGTTTCCACCCCCAAGCTCAATGAGTGGGGCCGACGTAGGGAGCTCGGATGGTTGTCTTGAGTATCCAGGTGGCATCCTCTGCGAATACAGTTCCTTTCTCTCGCCACTGTTTAGCTCGACCATGTTGGCCATGTTGCTGGCACCGCTAGACTTGGCAGCCTTCCTCCTCCTGAGCCAGATGAACCAAGTCAGCCCTAGAACCATTACCGCAGCAACGCTGCCGCCAACGGCGCCCCCAATTATTCCAGCATTGCTGGAAGCATTACCACTATCCGCGGCAGATGTGGCCGCAGAGGGAGTCTGAGTTGGTGTCGTGGGTGCCGATGTTGTGGATTCCGAGGTTGTTGTTGCCGACGTTGTCGTTCCCGATGTTTTTGCAACAACTTGTCCGTTCACAATACGCATTCCCAGCCCAGCTTCGCAGCATGATCGCGCCTGTTCATAATAACCACAACAGTACGTCTGCTCATCCCCTTCCCCGTCATTGCAGCCTGTCACTGCCTGATCCATTTCGTTCATCGGAAGTTGATCAATGCCTATCACAAGGACAACGGGTTATTAATGCTCAGTATTCCAAAATACAACTCTTCCAAAGTCCTGCCCTCGAAAGAGTTCCGCGAGGCTCCGGGAAACAATGCTACTTACCAGTTTCGTTTGGAGAGATGCAAAGCTTCAAACATCCTGGGGATTCCCAAGTCTGATCCGTACAGCTTCCCCGCCAAAGTACATTGCTAGAAGGCTCCCAACAAAGGCCAGAGCGTTGGCATCTGTCCTTGTTGTGTGTGTTGCAGCACATGCTAACACCATTCTTTTCGCATGGATCGTACTCATTGTCGCCAATGTTGCTGAGGCTATGGCGATCGATGCCATTGGGAACGTAGCATGCGCCCTTGGCATTTGTAACTGTTGCAAAGAAAGCGACGAGGACGATGGTCGGAAACATTATGACAGGAATAATAAAGATAGACTCCAAAGTGCACTTCAAAGATTTCGAAGCAGCCAATAGTTTGGAATGGGTAAGAAGGAATAAGCGCAGGCAGTCAGTCTTACCCTAAGGTAGTTAAGGGGTGAAGGAAAGTTGGAAACTCGCGGGTCAGCCATCTGCATGCGTGGACTGGTTGTACAAATACAAGCCGAAGGTCCCACAATAGGCAGTAATTGAGGTGATATGCCTCTCCTTTCGCAAACAGAAATATCGCCAAGTCCTGCAGGTCAGAATGATGATGCCGATCTGGGATTTCTTGGCAGTCAGAGAAAGAGAGAAAACTTACCACTCTCGAGAAATGAAGGACCATAACGGGGATATGATAGGATGGAAGTTGGTCGTTGGAGCCTGCCTCGCACCCACAAACAGAAATCAGGCGACGAATCGGGGCGCTTGTCTACACAAGGCTCGCAGCCTGCTCTCGGATTGTGGTTCTAAATCAAGCTTAATTGCAGTGGCTGAGGCAGACCCTGGTTATATGCTACTTTCTGTGTCCCGCTTCTTTCCGGGCTGCCTGCTTGCCTGTGTTACAGTGCATGGTTAATTGATGAAGCCTGATTTTTGGCTGGGATTATACTAATCGCACCAAACTTCGACCGTTGATAAAAGCTTCGCATGGCAACTGCGTAGTTTTGTCTCTACCCCACAAAATTCCACGTTTCACCTCCTTTCCCCAGCCCCTTGACATCCCAATTCGTCGAAAGGTCCCTGAGTCTCGATCCTGTAACTCGAGCAGCAAAACGTACAGGCTATCCTTATCACCTTTTCTTTCTCTTGCTGGCATACAGAATAAGGTTGACGTCGAGTTTTGCTGATCGAAATCTGAATGATAAGTGTCCAGCATTACGTGAGGCTGGGGTTCTCGGGCAGTAGAATCGGACAGAATGCTGACATTTGTGCCGTTGACGACCATTTCCCAGTCCGCTGTGGTGCACGTAGGAGAAGATCGATAAGGTATTAGTTTCAACGTCTTCAAGTCTCCCCATATTCTCAGCCAGCCGCCCCTTATGAAGCCTGTTGTATCTGGTGTAGCATATTCGAGGTCGTAGTCTTCGACCGCAATCATCACATCTGTCTCCGGTACGTCTGGAAGTCCGGGATTCACCTTGCCGGATGTCGATGCCCAAGACCAGCTCGGCGCTGTGTATGCAACTGGTGTCCGATCGCAAGTATCCACGAAATCTGCATGAGCCCGGTCCTCGATGTCGAACCGGTGTGTGGATACAGACACCGACCAAATCAGCTCCCGATCTAGGTACTTGCGCCACATGCCGGCAACATACTCGTCTCCTAGGGTTTTCATGACCTTCTTCACAATTGAGGAAAGAGCAACTAGCTTGTCTTGCTGGAACGTGAGTTTGCAGGATGTGTATGCCTTCACTATCTCAGCCCAATAGAGGTAGACGTTGAGACCGTTGCTGGAGGTGGATTGGTTGCGGATCCCGAATCCTCTGAGACTAGTCGAGGACGGTCGAAGGTCAACAGGCAAGTCGTCGGGATAAATCTCCGCAGCCTCTGTGCAAAGACACTCCCACATTACTTGGCGTTCCCCAAAGTGCAATATTCGAGGCGACAGGAGCCTTTCTTGTAACACCCATGCCCTTTCATTGATTGGAGCCGGAGATACTTCGTTATCCCAGAAGCTGTAGTCTACCACAAGGTGTAGGACAAGTTGTCCTTCAAGGGGCAAGTCGACCATCTGAGGTGTCAAGCTTCTTAGGTTTCGATTATGGAACATGGAGCTGTGACCATTTGGGGCGTGTGTTGCTGATATGTTGCAGTATGACTTTCCATAAACTTCCCCCATCCGCGTTGATTCCAATTTCCAATCAGCAAGTCCATCACCTCCCTGAACAATGCATAACGAGTCGATCCAAAGGTATTGAACCCCCAACTGCCGAGTGACCCAAACTGCGTCTTGATACAACACTGGCAAGTCTCCTAGTGGGAATCCTCTGGTCAAAGACTCGTAGTTTCCCGCAGTCAGACGCAAACAGTCTACAGATCCCCAGCAATGGCTCAAAGTCATGTACGGACCGTGAAGTTTTGAAATGCTGGTATCGATGATCCGGCATTGCACGCTGGAGTCGTTTGGAGAACCGCAGTCGAGAAGGCGAGTTGGATACCACTGGTCGTCTGTTGGACTTATCTGGGAGCACGGTTCGTGGCTTTCTATGCATTTATTGATCCATCCTTTAGCAGTGGCAATAGTCTCGGAGGATTTCGTGTTCTCAGAGTGGAAATTTGCAGAAGAATATCTTGGGGTATCTAATTGGTCATTAGCGACGCTTTCGTAAACATTACTTCCATGACAGTAGCACACCATGACATGGCTTCAGCAACAATGCCAGACGCCAGTACGGTCTTGGCTTCGATAGGGACAGTGTGCTGACAGGTCCCGCATCAAATGCAACCTGCCACAGGAAGCTTGTGGGATGACCGAATTGCGCTCCATCGGAGATTGAAACAAATGTGAGGTGACTCATGGTATCACTTGTCTCGACCTTTTTGAAGGGTATATTTGTTGCAACGACGTTTTCAGGTTGGCCATCGGAACCCGCCACTACCAACTGTCTTTCCTCGGAGTCTAGCATCGCCCATAGGCGACTGCAAGCATAACAACCGGCATCGACGGAGCTCTTGAGGCTTCTACAGCTCAGGTGGTGAGGCTTTCCTTGCGCTTCCGAAATGGGATAGGTGTAAAAGTCTGACTTCGAAAGACAATCTTGACAGGTGGGACAAGTGAGACTCATTGTGTCGATGGATGAAGCCTTTCATTGCAGAAAGCCAGACTGAGAAATAGCGATGTGGCGTAAGGAGCGACAAATGGCAATGACATATGAGAAATGAGGGGTTCACATTCACCAATTGGTATGATTCAGACTTCTATTGGCTGGGAATTACCGAGGATGCTGCAGGTCGATATATGTTGGCCCCTATCACATTGGCGAATAAAGCGCATCGTTGGGACAGGGTGACTTTATTTCCCTTGGACCGTGATAATGATTTCTAGTGGTGGTTAAGTCAGGTTGTTGAGTCCCAAATTGCCTGAAAGAACACACGAAACCTGTGGGGAAAATATTGGAAGGGAAGAAAGATTTACAGACGCTCTGGATTTGACATTCGGCATACTAGGATGTCAGAACTCAGCAACTGCTTTCTTGTCTGCTTTACAATTTATTCCCCATATTCACATGGACCGCCTTGATTTGAGAATAGGCCTCCAGGCCAGCCTCACCAAGCTCCCGCCCAATACCACTCTGCTTCACGCCTCCAAAGGGCACCCTGGGATCACAATCCTGGCTGCTGTTCACCCAAACCATACCGGATTCGATCTCAGAGGCGACTCTGTGGGCCTTCTCAAGATTTGTTGTAAACACCGCGGCTCCGAGGCCATAGACGCTGTCATTAGCAGTAGCAATCGCCTCTGCCTCCTCGGCAAACTTCTGGATCACCACCACAGGGCCGAAGATCTCCTCCTTCCAGATCCGCATATCACTCTTAACGTCTGTGAAGACAGTTGGGGCAACATAGTAGCCCTTAGAAAGATGCGCTGGCCTTTCCCCTCCAGTCTTGATCGTCGCGCCCTCCTCTCGGCCAATCTTGATGTATGAAAGGATGCGCTCGTGCTGCTGCTTCGAAACTTGAGGGCCCTGGTATGTTGTCTCATCCCATTGGTGGCCGACCTTACTGGTCTTCTCGACCTCTTCAACGAACTTTGCAACAAACGTATCATAGACGTCTTGCTGGACTAGAATCCTAGAGGTAGCAGTGCAAATTTGGCCCTGGTTAGACATGATTCCCAGATGGGACCACTTCACAGCTTGCTCCATATCGGCATCGTTGAAAACCAACAGCGGCGACTTTCCGCCCGTTTCCAGTGTAATGTTTTTCAGCGTTGCTGCAGCCATCTTCAAGATGTTGGTTGCCGTTCCCGTTGATCCTGTGAAGGCGACCTTATCAACCAGGGGATGCTGAACGAGGGCGGCGCCGGCGTCCTTGCCGAGACCGTTCACGAAATTTACCACACCCGGGGGAAATCCAGCTTCTTTAATAAGGCGCCCGAGAATAAGGATACTCAGAGGTGTTTGTTCAGCTGCCTTGAGGACGACGGTGTTACCGCATGCCAGCGCGGGGCCCAACTTCCATCTAAGAGTTGTTAGCTGCGGGAGCGGTACCGCATGCGAGTTTGACTCACGTCGCCATGGAGAGCGGGTAGTTCCACGGGATGATCTGGCCGACGACACCAACCGGTTGTCGGACGGTGTACGCAAACTTGTTCGGAACGCTGATGGTCTGACCAAAGATCTTGTCGCACCAACCGCTGTAGTAACGGATCACTCCAACTGCTTCAACGAGGTCATTGGTCAGAGCCTCGGTGTACGTCTTGCCTGTAATGCGATTTGGTTAGAAGATGATGACCAAGACATTCATATCGGTGCCAGTCTTGGCTCACCATTGTCCCATGCATCGACTGTCGCGAAAAGCTCCTTGTTCTCTTCGACTAGATCGGCCAGGCGGGCCATGAGGATGCCTCTGTCTGAGGCGGGCAACTCTTTCCATGACGGATTCTTGAGGGCTGCCGCTGCAGCTTTGACGGCCTTATCTACATCATCAGCAGAGGCGGCGTGGACGGATGCGATAACCTCTTCTGTTCTAGAGTAGCGTGTCAGTTTGTCATCCTGGAACATTTCCTTCCCGAAGATTGGTTGTTGCACTCACGCGGGGTCAATGGCGTCAATCTTCTGGCCGTTCGAAGATGGCACGAATTCGTTGTTGATAAAAAGGCCGGTTGGCTGGGTCCACTTGCGGCCGTTGGGAGCCGTGAGCTCGACAGAGAGATCTCCCATTTCTGCAGCTGTTGGAAAAGGAAGGGATTGGCTGTGTTGCGTGTTGTCGGCGGGTTCGCTCTTCGGTATCAATATTTCAAGGCAAGTCAAGAGAAAAAGAAGTGGTGGAGGTGAACAGCCTGTGAAACCAATTGTGAGATATTCAAGACAAGCTCTTCATTTCAGATATGATGTGGTCAGATCCAAGCTACGATTTATCTTATCCACGACCGAACTCGGCCTCAGCAGAAGTCCTTTACTCCGACTTGTGACGCACTTTCACCTCAGCATCGGCGTGGCCTGCCGGGGTGCTGACAGGAGCATACAACAAACACACTGCCCCTCCCCCGCAGTGGAGATCTCAACTCATATCATTTTAGATTCCAGTGAGAATTGACGTGTGCATGAATGGTCCCTAGAATGCAAGATTCACCTTCCATATCTGTACTGCATATGGCTCTCCGATCTTATTCTTCATCCAAATCTGTAAACATGTCTCGGATACCATACTCGTCGCGGACACCTTCCTGATAGATGCCTCCATGATGAGGGGCATCAAGCAGCTCAAGTTGAAATGAGGGGCATTAACCCCACCATCATTGACGATAAGGGGTGTGATAGCTGGCGTGGTCCCTGAATTACCCCTCCATTTGCGGACAGGGTAGCTCCAGGTCATGAGAAATCAGAGACTGTAGTCCAGCTGAATTGTGATGGTGTCAGACTTGATTAATTGCGCCACTTGATTGTGTTGTGTGTGATGTGGAAATGACTTGATTTTCATCTATCTACAAGCTTTAGATTTGTGCAGCAAATGACATTGTTCAGAGGTTGCTTCGCTGTACCTAGGCCTCGCGCTCAACCGCCTTAGGAATTTCGTCTAGCAGACTCTCGCCCGCAGGCGCCCACCCGAGCAACTCCTTGCCCCTGATCGCCTCGCTACGCGCATTGGTTCCGAAGAGTACAGCTCCGTGAGGGAGCAGAGTGTTTGCGTCTTCGGGGTTGAGGACCTCGACATCGTCTGAGGGGATGAGTCCCTTCTTCGCGGCGGCCGTAGCGACAAGCTTCGAGATCTCGCCAAAAGACTGCACACATTAGCAAGTGATCCAGTAGAAATAGGGCAACAGGACTTACAATCTCGCCCAAACCAGTGAGATACAGGCCATTCTCATTCCAGACCTGCGCATCGGCCTTGCCCTCAACAGCCTTCTCAACCAACTTCACAAACAGCTGGCTGACATCCTCAACGTGAACATTGCCCCAGCGGCTCAGGCCCTTGCCGACCTGAATGCCTCGCTTGCGCTCCAGTGTTGTCTTGGCCAGCGCAGGGACTTGGACGCTGCGCTTGTTGCCAGGACCGAGGCCTTGGCCGTAAATGATAGGCGGGAAGACCAGCGCAGTGTTGATCTTCGATTCTTCGGCCGCGACCTTGAGAATGTAGTTGTCAACGGCGCGACTCGGGTGGCGCTGGATGATGGAGCGGATGTCGGTGATGCCAGTGAGATCGTTGAAGACGAGGTCGCTTCCGTCGCCGGGGGCGCGGTTCTTGTCTGCCAGCTCGGCCGCGGCGAGAGCGCTAGCACCAGAAACTTGGACCCAGTGTGCTACAAGGACACCAAAATCAGCATGAGTTCAATTGAGTCCATTCAGTGGCGACGAGAATAAGGAAACTGGAAGATTGCTCACATGGCTTCTGGCTAGAGGCAAGGGCCTTGTGAATAGTCTCGACGCTCTTGAGGTGGCCAGTTGAGGCCAGGTCTGGGGAGTCATCGTTAGCAATCCGAACAATGCATTAGACGCATGGCCTGCCGAAACTTACGAAGGATAACATCAGCGTTAGAAGCTTCGCGAGCTAAAATATCGGCGCTGTCCAAGTCTCCCTCAACAACTTCTACGTCCTTAAATGTGCCGGTAATAATCTTGCCCTTTGCGCTGTCGCGCACCAGTGCTCTGATGGCATATTCAGGGTGCGACTTGGTCAACAGCGATAGGACAGTGCCGCCAATGTAGCCTGTGGCTCCGGTCCTGGTCCTCTGGTTAGCGTTTACTTGCACTTACATGGGGGCTCTGAGTCAGTCTATCGGTGATTCCTAGAGGGCGCCTTACAGGAAGATCTTTGCCATTGCGTCGTTTTCGTAGCAGACAGGTTCAAAAACTTGAGTAGCGAACAGCAATTGAGGTTGAAAGCGCATGAGGAGAGATTGAGTTATGTACCTTGCTGGAAGCTCTGTGTCCTGGCATGTGCAATTGGATATATATGGCGTCGACGAGCACCTCGGGCTCGCCTTCCAAACATGGGGTAGTACAGGGGGTCCAGATTACCAATGCAGTAGCTGTCTACGCGCCCTGTAGAATTACACAATCCACTACTTCATTGCGTCACGGCCAACATCGTTGTTTTCACACCAATTGTTCACGATGATTCTGTTCAGCTGGTCCACTTCAACCTCTTCTAAGGGAATCTGTCTTTCGAGAACAATCTATCATGGCATTGATTATTTCAGCGCCACGTTTTCACCCAAATTTTCGATCTCATGGTCCCATTCCCACGGCTTACTGAGCCTACGATAGCCGCTTGAACACGCTCTCCAACACTTCAAGGAAAATATCGGCTGTTTTCGAAGTTAGCATCGTGCTCTTCAACTCAGTGATGGCAGCCTATCTTACCGTGATTCTTCTGGAACACCAGCATTGGCCTTAGGCGAATGGCAGCGTCACCGCTGCCGCCCATGTTGACACCTTTGGCCTTGGCGAGCGCTAGCACTTCTTCTCTCCTAGGGGCATCCCAAGCGATGAAGGTGCCACGGTCTTTACCGCGGAGGTTCTGGACGTGTTGCGGGTATTTGCTCGCCAGCTTCTCCAACTCGCCAAACAGATATTCTCCAACCTTTGCAGTGTGCTCAACTAGGCCATTCTTCTGGATTTCTCCGTAAATAGCCTTGAACAACAGCGCTCGGACAGGGTCGCCCATCCAAGTGTTGAATTGACGGTAAGGCTTATCCGGCCTCAAACCAGCATCACCAAAGTAGAAGCCTGCAGCCTGGGCCTTCTTGGAGAAGGTCACCATATCCGGCGGCGAGGACAAGTTCCAGTGCTCATGAGCCCAGAATTTTCCAGTCGCTCCGACACCAGTCTGCACCTCATCAACAATCAGCAAGACGCCCTTGCGCTTCGTAAGCTCTCTGAGACCCTGGAAGAAAGCTGGCGAGGCATGGTTGTCGCCGCCCTCTGATTGAACAGGCTCGACGACGACTGCCGCAACTGTCTGCTTGGCCTCCTCCAACAAACGCTCTGTCTCTTCGAGGCATCTCTTCTCTTCAGCCGCGTTCTCTGCAGCGAACTGGTCCAAAGGATACTTCAACTGAGGGAAAGGTGCAACGGGCCAATCGAATGCTGGTACGTCGAGCTTGTGGATAGGCTTGCTTCGCGTCGTCGACAAGCTACCAAACAGGCGACCATGAAAGCCCTTCTGGAACGACATAATGGAGTACTTCTTGGCGCCAGGTGCTTGGTTCACCATGACGGACTCCAGCTCAGCAGCACTGAAGTCGGCCCCACCACGCTCTTGTGTTCCTTTCCAGATGCAGGCCGCCTTGTACGCTGTCTCGTTCGCATCGGAGCCGGTTGTGGCAGTAAAGACCTGGTTCAGACCTTTGGGGGCGGCTTTCAGAATGCCGGTCTCCAGCAGTTCCGCATAGTCTGTTGAAGGAAAGCTTCCAAGTGCCGGTCTACTGGCGATTGCTCGGATCATCGCAGGACTGGTCGACGCCTTGTTGAGTTCTGGATTGTTGTAGCCGAGAGGAATTGAAGCGATCTGTGCGAAACTGCAAAATGACTCTGGTCAGAGTTAGACCTCCGGTAAACAAGGTAGGCAGACTTACACATCGAGGAACTGGTTGCCATCGGCATCCACGAGACTTCAGTTGTAACAGTTTAGAATGAAGCTTTTGCACAAGAATGATATATCATCGGCTTACTAGTTTCCGATGGACTTCTCATAGTCGACAAGTGTATTTGCGCTGCGAGTGTCAAAGACCTGTTCCAGCTTCGCAAGTCCTTCCTTCACCTTTGGCCCAGGCACCGAGGAAGTGACAACTCTAGGCTCAGAGGGCTCGCCTAGGAAGGCAGCAGGAGCTTGGTTGCATGTCGCGGCAGAAAACCTGCGAACACTGCTTTTCTGCTGAGGGCAACGCCGAGTGGCAGCTGCCAGGGTAAGCGGGCGGGAATGTCGGAGACTTGCCATCATGACTCTGCCGTTCAAATGCTGGTATTCGAATATTAGAAACAACTCAGCAAATCAGGAGCTCCTCCGGACCTGATCTCTGGGTTCAAGAAAGCTTTTGAGCCACCTGTGGACTTACACGACCTGTCCCGGAACTCAGCTCGTCGCGCAAGCATGCCCATCAAATGGTGGGTCTTCTCGGCACTTTCTTCTTCCCATTCTGGACTGTGAAAGAAGGGCCATAACTTCAACGGCATTCCCGATCAGCCACGAAGCATTCCCATGACTAAAATCCTGGGGAAATCGATGTTCGGGTCGCTGTTCCGGCATCATCCTAGACCGAGAAAGTCCGGTCCGGCCCCCTGAAGTGGCTTCCCCACATCCGCTAGCGCCGATAAGTGCGTCGCGGAAACCTTCCTCGTTTTGAAAAGCAAGGGAAAAGGAGCCAAATCTGGTATCTTGACTCTTCTCACTTCACACAACTGCCCGTGATCGCTGCAACACGGTCTTGGCTTGTCTCCAGTAAGCGACTCCGCCAACATCGAAACCCCGCGATACGACGATATCTTGACTCCGCCATTTTCCCCGCTGACTTTCCTTTAAGTGACGACAAGAAGCCTCGGAATCAGGCCAGTCGGGAATACAAGCCTGAAATGCTCCTCGCCTCTGCCTCCTGAGAACAGCCAGCACGCAATACGACTATCTCCCGTTTCTGTCTCTCGCTTTGCCCTGCCTTACCTCATCGACAATGCCTGCCACGACCAGAAGCAAAGGGCCCAGTAATTCCGGGGCGGCCACCCGGAAGAACCAGCAGAGCCAGAAGCCTTCTCGGGGAAAGCCACAGTCAACGACAGCAAGCAATAACGCAAAGAGGGTCCCGCGCTCGAGGACGTTTACTGGTTGCCGTACCTGCAGAAGCCGACACCTCAAGTGTGACGAGGCCCGCCCGATATGTTCCTCCTGCCGCCGTCTGAATCTTGTATGCGAAGGCTACGACGGTCAGCTCCTGTGGGTTCCCGATCCGCTGTGCTCGGCCTCGGGCGACCAGAAGCATGCCTCCTCCTCGCACCGTGGCACGTCGTACCGATACCCGCTCTTCACCGAGGATGAACGCAACTCCATGGCCGTCGAGATTGTCGAGAGCATGGGCGATCGCTCGGCTGGCGACATTGTTCTCGACCTCGACGAGAAGAGCGTTCACGGCGTGGACGAGGTATGCTTAGACGGTCCCTTTGGGGTTTTCAGAGCGTTCGAAGGCGATTCCATCACGAATTCGGACACGTCGTCTTCCCCTCTCCTGCAACAGTCGGAGAGCTCCCCGACTTCATCACCAGCAGAAGCCTTGCCCGATCTCGTCGGCGGCGAACTGCTGGACGATGACGTTGAAGAAGTGGTGATTGAGCCATGGTCCGTTCCCGACGACCATATCGCGATAGAACCGTCGTTTCTGCCTGGACACTTTGACGCTTTCGGTGCAGACGCCATGATGAACCTCGGCCAACCATGGATGCATGGTGAGGGCACAGGAAGTCTCAGTCATATGATGTCGATGGACGGTTCTTTTTCGGCACTGGACTTGCTTTTCTCTCCCACTTCACCGCGGACTCCTGCTATGGCCCATATAGACCAAGCCCATAGTCATCATACACACCATCAACAAGAACCGAACCAACTTCAACTGCCAGATCAACAGCAGCAAGACACTGACCACGTGCAAGAGGATGCCAACAACGCTACCAGCCCACCATCGGACATGAACCTACCAATACCGCGCAAGGTTTCCACGCCGTTCACTAACAACCTACCCGGCGTTACGCCATGCCTACCAACACATGCCGCCTCCCTCTTACGATACTACAAGTCCATCGACTCATCATCATCTGTCAGGGGCATGAGAATATCACCGTGGCAACTCTGGCTTCTGCCTTGCGCATTAGAAACCTTTGCTGAGCTTTCTCTTTGGAACACTACCACCCATACCCGGCATAGCATTCTCTGTACATTACTGGCTAGGAGCGCTTTTCACTTGCACAGGTCACTCAAGACGGATGAGAAAGCAGCATCACAGTGGCTGGAGGTCGGTCTGGACTACCAGAAGAGCGCACAATCGCATCTGAAGATGGCACTACAAAGCGAGTCGGACGAGACCAGTCAAGCCAAGTACAATGAGATTCTTATGGCTATCCTCGCCACTGCCATGGTTTCGGTCAGTATAGCATGCGCTCCCGCCGTGATTGGCTTCTTATTCTAACAACTGCATAGGTGCTCTATAATGGCTCTCGCGCGGTCAAAATCTTCCTCCTCGACGCCGAACGACTCATCCGTCTCCGGGGCCTTTCGATGCCCAGGTCCTTTAACATTCGTGTCCTACACCACGTCTACACACACCTGCGTGTAATCGCAGAAAGTACCGATATATCTAGCGACAACGCTCCGAAGACAGGCCAAGCCCTATCAGCCCAGGCTCAGGCGCAAGCAGCAACCGAGATGGCCGTCTCGCTCCGCAAGTTCCGTATTGCAGAAGACTCTCTCGGTGCCGACCTTGACATCTCTCGCGAGAAGCCTGCCGAGGTCGGGTACGCGGACATTCACCTCGACATTTCGGGCCACTGGCCTGTCACGATGTATCCTGATATCTATGGCGTACCCGAGTCCCTGATGACGCTACTGTCTCAGACCATCAGCTTCGCCAATGAGAAGGCCAAATTGGAGGCCATCGCACTATACGACCCTTGTGTCTCGGCAGGCTTGTCGAGGCATGTCAAGATGCTGGAGCAACACATCTGGTCGTGGTCTCTTGGTTCTTCCGATAATCAAAGCGGTCCCAGCAGACCTCGGGAACTCATGAACAGGGACGCCAGGCTCATCGATCACCCCATCATCAAGTCCTTGACACTAGCGATGCATCAGGCGTTGATAATCTACTTCTACCGCAGGGTGTACAACATGAGCGCCATGGTCATCCAAGATGCCGTGCGCAAGACTCTGGATTATATACAGCCCTGTCTAGAGGAGACGGCAGACGACCATGACTTCGCTACCAGCATTGGGTGGGCTGGGTTCATTGCCGCCTGCGAAGCTACGACGCCCGATCTTCAGGAACAAGGAAAGCTGATTCTGGAGTCTATTGATACCCAAGGCGTTATTTTCGGGGCGGATAAGCCGAGCGTGTTGGCTCAAAGCGTATGGGATAAAAGGAAAGAGACAGGGGATTGGACTTTGAGTTGGCCAGATTTGATGCAAAGCAGCATGACTAGATGATACAGCATGGGTTTGATGGTGCAAAATTTGCTTACAGAAAAGCTTTCCCTCGACTGGTGGCTTCATGCCACCCTCCATATTTGGTGGGTCTAGCAGCAGGTCAGAGTGCTAATGGAGAATGGGTGACCATCATCCCATGAAATAACTGCACTCGCACCGGCGAGGAAATTTGCTGCTACAAACTATGCAATTGTAGTGAACCTTTGCATCATTTTCATTGTTTTCGCGGCATCGCGCTGATATTATTGACTGGAGCCGGTCCTGTTTCGGCTTCCGCGGAGGACCGGAGCGGAACGGGCGGGTTGATGCACTCGCCGAAGCCCCGGTTTCTCATCCTTGGCTGGTCCGTCTCCGGCTCTCCTTAAATATTAAAGGCTGCTCGTTTATCCCATCAGGAAACATCTCCTTGAACAGCTACTTGTGCTTGGCATTCTTCATCATCTCGTCATCATATCCGAAATGGCATCCGACTCCGATTATTCGCCGGCGCAGCTACTCGAGCACGCCCAAACTGATGTACGACTCCCCGTAGCAGAGCCGCTCCTCTCTGCCATTCTCTCTCGCCCCCCTTTCATAAATGTCGCCGGTACATTCAATACCAGGGACGTTGGATTGGTTCCGGGCAGTCCTATTCGGCAAGGTTACGTGTTTCGCTCTGGGGCTCTCGAGAATCTTGAGGATATCGGCAAAGAGCAAATCGCAGGTCAACTCGGCATCAAGAGAATATTCGATTTGAGAACGAGCTATGAGCGTGAAAAGTATCCCGAACCAGATGTACCGGGTGTTAACATAACGTGGATCCCAAATTCATACAGCAACACTGTCGATATCAACGACTTTGTTAGTGGGGGTGGCGAAGAAGGCTACTGCAAGATGTACATGGACATCATGGAAACGTACGCGCCAACCATGAAGACTGTCCTTGAACACGTCAGAGATCGGCCACAGGAACCATTTCTTTTTCACTGCGCGCGTGAGTTACTGCCCCTAATCTCTTCGCGGTTTCAGTTGTCACTAACCCATACCTGCTCCAAAGTCGGCCGGGATAGAACTGGTATTCTTTCAGGCTTCCTATTGTCCCTCGCTGGCGCTAATGCGGAGACGATTGCTCTGGACTACATGATCACCCGAATTGGTTCGGAGCCCGTCCGTGAGCTATTGCTTCAGCGGGCGATAGAAGAGCACAATTACAACTTTGATGTTCCTGTTTTTCACAATCTTTGCAGTCTCCAATTGTCGACGTGGCAACTATTCACGAGGGAGGTAACAGCTAAATACGGAGGTTTTGAGAAGTACGCCATGGTCAGACTTGGATTTTCTCGAGACGAAGTGGAACGAATCGCTGGCCACTTGAGAGCATAGATAATAGCGTCACTTGTGCGACGGGTTTGCTTGGGAGTCTAGACAATCTATCCATCCAAGTCTGCATCTTGAGGCTATCTGTAAAAGCTCAACGAGAGCTTATTAGGTTTTAAAATTAAGGATCATTGCATTCGGTCATTACTAGGCATGGGTGGCTCCCGCTACGATACCTGCAAGTGAAACCCGAGATATGCGACCACCTCGGGTGGCTTGCTGGCCAACTACCCACCAAACTAGGCCAGCATTGGCCAGGAAGAATCACGAAGCTTGAAAATATCTGAGCACAGCCCCATCAAAAAACGGTATTCCGGACGATATACCTTCTAGAGTAAATCTATCCTGTGGTGCGGCTTTTTGTGTGTGTGTCACCTGGTTGAAGCCTGGCATCAAATTTCATGATGTTTAATCCGCCAGTATCACGTTTGGAAAACCCTGAGCTTTTGATCGGCAAGATCATCAGATCCGGCTTTTCGACCACATTGGGGCAATGTGTGCGCCGGTGCTAGCTGGTCATCTGTAGAGTATGGAGTCTTTTAGCGCCGTAGTTACAAGACGCAACTCTAGAGGCCTGGGGTAATGTTACACATTGATCTATCGGAGATTTTATTGCTAGATAGACGCAGAAACTGTGCGTTGTGATACTCGCGCTGCTGTTTCACCACCATTCGCTTGAGTAGAACTGAATCTCCACGTCCTGCAGCAGTGCTACTGCTTCATGCAACCCACTTGAAAGGGAGATTCTTTAAGTAAGATGCGAAGTCACATAGGTTAACGTTATTCAAGATATAAACCTGCTGGGTTTCCTTCGCAAAGTGAGAATACATTCTGAAGGCGTGTTCGTGCATTACTTCGCTATTCACATTCGTTCCATCAGTCTTTCCTATTCGGGTCTCGAGACCATCCGCTCTTTTAGTCTCAATTGCTTCTATCTCACTTCTTCATTCTACACTATGCTGCAATCCCTTCCATTTCTCGGCCTGTTCGCTAGCGTCGTAGCGGGCCACGGTGTCGTTGACAGCTTCAAGACTGACGGCGTAGAGCACCCCGGCTATCAGCTCAGCTACTACTATGACAAGAAGAATGGCAAGGAGCTTCCCGAGCTAGCTGCCTGGTCCGCCGAGAATCTTGACAGTGGCTTTGTTGCGCCCGAGAACTACACATCTCCTGACATTGTTTGCCAGAAGAATGGTGTCTCAGCCAACTCCACTGTCAAAGTGTCTGCTGGCGGAACCGTCGAGTTTCACTGGACACGATGGGCTCACTTTGGCCCCATGATGACCTATATTGCCAGGTGTCCATCTGATGACTGCACCGATGTTGACAAGACGGCACTTGAATTTGTCAAGATAGACGAGGCTGGCATCAACTTCGATACGCAGGAATGGGCTGCTAGGACTTTGGTCAACAACAACAACACTTGGGTCACCACCGTTCCAAAATCTCTCGCAGCTGGCAGCTATGTCTTTCTTCGCGAGAGCATCGCAGTTCACGGCTCGCTCCGAGAAGGCGGTGCTCAGAACTATCCTCAATGCTTCAACATTGAGGTCACCGGGTCCGGTACAGCAGAACCGAAGGGAGTTCGAGCCCAAGAACTGTACACCCCCACTGATCCCGGCATTTTATTCAACCCTTACAAAACACCGATCCAGAACTACACTATCCCTGGCCCTGCGCTGTTCAGGGACGGAGAAGCAGCAACCGCCACCAGTACCGCCCCGACCACGCCATCCGATCAACCATTGGTAAACAACGCAACTAGTCGATCTTTCGCCAACTCAACGGTACATGTTCCCATTCCTTCCAGGACGCCACCAAAACCTGCCGGTACCCTCTCCACCAAGCTTGTCACGGTCATTCCCACCTCGCGTACCACCGAGACCGCAATCGCGTCTAGCTCGGCCAGCCTTCCTGCTACGCCCAAGACCGGCGCTTCAGTCCAAGCAACCCAGCCTGTGTCATCCTCTGCCTGTCTGCCCATAGGATCGGAGTTCTTAACCTCCAAGGCAGACGCAGACGCAGTTTTGAATGGCGGAGACTCGCTGCCCCAGACGTTTACCCTTGAGACCTTCATCGAGAGGCTCCGTGAGAATTCGTCCAAGAATACGCGCCGCCATCCTCGGGAGCTTCTTTAACGACTTGGGAGATATTCTGTTTCTACTTTCGCTTCATGACTGGCATCTTGACTTTCGTCGGGACGTTTTTGGACAAACGATGAAGACTTTCAGGATCACGGCAATTACATGCAGACATCACCTAGCATCCATCTCAATATACGCTACGATATTTCCGCAACTCGAGGGAAAGAAGAACCTTTAAGCATAATCGAGCTGTATTGTAAATGAATTTTGTCTGATTTTTGTGGAATATCTTCCGACATAACTGTTATTTGTGGGTGTAAATGACTGTTAGCCGATAACTCCATAGTACTTCATTTCCCGAGAAGGTTTGAAAGAAAAACTCTCATTCATAATCCAATGGAAGGAATTTCTTGCTCATGGCATGTCGCAAAACCCAGCAACAGCTGAATCTAAAGTTGTTTGTAGGCTTTAATCATGAAAGGAGCTTGATGACGGAAAACACAAACTTACAAATGCTCTCGCTTTGTTGGCTCATAGACAGGCGATCAGTGTACCCTCTCGTACTGGGTTCTTGCATGAACAGGCCTTCCATTCACAGCTGCTTTATTTGAGCTTTTATAAGCTGGAATTTACAATCTGCACTCCGTTGTTCCTAGCTTTCAACCAGGGCCGAGATCAAAGTACCTTAGTTGACCAAAGTCCCAAGCTGTGGTATCCAATGCAGCTAGCGCAAGTTTTGGCCTCACCACTCACATACGAAATCAAACTAACCAGTCACACAACCATGCAACCTCAGTAAGTCTATGCTTGGATACGAGCTTACGTGATGACTCACGTTACATGCCACATAACATCTGAGGCCGCTTCGACTGAAGCGACTGTTGTTCCTGGGAGCTTGAAAGTTGAAAACCTTAAAGCACATACCATCGGTCCTGGGCTCCCTCCGTTCTCGAGTTCCATCTTTCCAATTTCCAATCATGGCAGAATCCTCACACGTCCTGGCACCAGCACTGGCAGCCATGAACCTAGACAACCACAGCCCTACAATCATCACGGCAGCCCAGCGCGCCTTGAGTAATCACCTCATCATCTCGGAAATATTTGACTACATCAGCATGGACTGTCAGGGCTGCTGGAAGGATCGCCCTGCGGAGGCCTTGCGTGAGAATCATGGCGCGGTCACAGGCTCGACGGAATCTAGAGGCGTCGAGGTTTGCGATGGGAGCGACGAAAAGCGCCAAGACCATGGCAACACAGACGACGACGACGACGATGAAGAAGATTGGAGTGTTCATCACTACTGCCGCGGCGGGGTTCTCATGCGATGCATGCTGGTTAACAAGCTGTGGTTCGAATTCGCGACACCATTTCTATGGAAGGAGCCGACGGAGATGGTCTCATATCCGTCATATAAGACTGCAATTGTGGCCATACTGAGTGCCATTGAGCCTGTACGGCGACAAATGTATGCCAAGCATGTTGAGATAGGCTTCAACGAGGGCCGCGACAACGAGGACCTCACAGAACTGGAATTTCCACGGCTGAGAGAAATGCAGTTGAGGACGGACTACGAAATCAATTTACCCAAGATCAATGGGTACGGCGTCAAAGTACTGAGCGTTGATCCCCGCTACGAGCCCTGCTATCCTGAAGTCTACACATTGACTCAGGATCGCATGAACGAGTTGCTGGACCAAATCGCAGTGAGTGCGCATCTTTCTCCGCGCTTGTATGCGTTAATTAAGGTACTAAACTTTGTAGGAGCGATTCCGCAACATAGAGAGCCTTTCCATCTGTGATAGTGCTTTAGCGTATCCTGGAACGATGAAGAAATTCAAGGACCGCATGCCCCATCTCGTGGACTTTGATCACAGTTACGTTACCGAGCAGAGCCACTCGTACTAGGAATGGTTAAATGTCTCCTACGTTGGTCCTTATGCATCACTCAGTTATATCGGGTGACTGCCATTGGCCCCGGGATTGGTTCTTGGAATTGTTGCACTGGTGTCGATAGCTTCAAGCTGATTAGTAACTGTGCCCTAGGTTTATGTTTCGTGTTGAGGCCTAGAAAAATATTATAGCTTGTATTTCAATCTCGAAGAGTTTAATTTGCCTCTTCCCTAGAGTTACCCAACCACTATCGAGCAAAGGAACACACTAAGTCGCTTCTTTAAACTGCAACTTCCGGCTTTCGGCCATATACCATGTGACTGGGATATATTGTTAGTTTTATGATAGACGAAGTCGGTGGTAGACCGCAATAATGTCATGTTTTTGATAAGGTGCAAACTCACTAGTTGAAGTAGGGCAGCGAACCTCGCTGCTCCAAGGCTTTCCGCATGTTCTCAATGAAGACCAGCAATCTTGGGTAACTCCATCCCAGAATTTCGCTGATCGGCCGAAGCGCCCACCCTTCTAGCCCCTGGTCAACATACCACGCCGCGTAGAAACCAACTTCCTTGAGCATGCGGTCTTTGGCCCACCCTCCAACCGGAATACTCCATCTCTTGTGCATGATATCGACAAATCCTGCCTTCTTCATACACTCTACCATCATGATAGGATTCCTTCCATCGTCCTGTGCTACACGGAAAGTTTGTCCTGTGATGTCACCGGCTTCCCAGAACAGCGGAGCCCACTGCTTGAAGATGTGACTTGGGTCGTTTTCGATGGCTGGGTTAAGCGACCGAACCTGGCTGTCAGCCTCAAGACTTTCGAACCACCCTCCTGGCTTTAGACGTGGGAGCTATCCACGTTCTGTGGCAAACTCGACTGCAGTTGGAGACTTGGAATACATTCATAAACTTTTAGAACTTGCCTGGAGAAATCCGCATACACATTCCTCTCCATGGTATTTCTTGCTGTCTACAAGACCATATCATTAATGAAGTTCAGCTTTAATTATATCCTTCGTAAGGTAGGTAATCACTTGTGTTTTCGACCCACGGCCCAGAGAACAGATTTAATGTAACTTATTGTATTTCAAAGATCTAGTACGGCTCATGCGACAACTTCAACACCAGCGTCCTTCAACAACCCAGCCAGCTCTTTCCGTGGCTCACCCTCAAGGAGCGCAAACGGCTTGCGCAGGCCACCGGTCTTCCACCCGCGGAGCTCCATACCAGTCTTCACTGCCGAAGCATAGTTGTGCGATTCCAAGAACTTGCAGATGGGGAAGATCTTGGCCCACAGCTCCCTGCCCTTCCTCAGGTCCGCATCCTCGGCAATGGCCTGCCACAGCTGGCTAGACAACTCAGGAATGATGTTGGTCGCGCCCCATACGGAACCCTTGGCGCCGGCAGCGAGACCGTAGAAGGTAAGCGTATCCCAACCGTTGAAGGCGGTGATGCGGGAGTTGGTGGCAGTGCTGAAGATCAGCTCCGTGAGGGCGGGGCCGTTTCCAGAGGTATCCTTCAAGTGTGTGACGCCAACCTCGGACAAGGAGGCAATCTCAGAAGGAGATAGTGTGACACCGCTGGCGGAGGGAATGTTGTAGTAGACGATGGGGAGCTTTGAAGCTTGGTGAATCTCGCTGAGAAGCTCGCGGAGCTGAGCCAGGTTGGGGGCATCGTAGAAGGGGGGAACGACCATAAGGGCAGTAGCACCGACGAAGGCGGCGTGGACGGCGTGGTCGACGGCGCGGACGGTGGAGAGGTCGCCAATGCCGGCGACGACGGGCACGCGGCCGGCAGCGGATTTGACGGTCTGTTCGATAAGGATCTTGCGCTCCTCGGCGTCCAGTGCGGTGAACTCGCCGGTGCTGCCCCCAGGAACAAGACCGTGGACACCTTTGGCGATGAGGCGTTGAATGTGTTCGTCGAGCAGCTTGGTGTCGATTGACTTTTGGTCGGGGGTGAAAGGGGTGGCAAGGGCGACGAGAACGCCCTTCAGCTCTTGAGGCGCCATCTTGGTTTAAGCTTTGGTTCTGAGTTATGGAAAGATGATAGCGCAAGACGACAATGCGGCTTCAAATGACAGAGTATTGGTTTAGCTTTGGGCTGGGCTGTTCTTAAGGAGAAAGATACAGAAGTAATCGAATTGGAGTTGTACTGTTGCGCAGACACCAATGCCATATATTGAGCTGATGAAGTGGGTTATCTAATACGAACCTTTCGCATTGGATGGTTGACAGAAGCCTTCGGGATGTCTTGCTCTTTGCAAAAGTCAGCTGCACCAGCTAACTAGCCCCTCCTCAAGGCAGCTGTCCGGCATCGCAACGCGTTTGAACTCGAGCAGACCTGCCTTTCCTGCCGCATTTCCTGCTCAATCAAACTAAGAAATTGGAGTCTGAATGACGATAGAGGAGGGGTAGCTGGAGGCACACAAGAAGGCGACGCGGGGCAAGTGGGTCACGGGATCGGAGGCGCCTCCGCGATGATTATCTTCGATGGCAGCGCGGGGTAAGCCCGGCGGCGATGTGGGTCCCCGTCGCGGAGACCTTCCTCCAGAAACTGGCCACCCCAAAGTCGCGAACCTTACCTGCATGCGACACGAAAGAGTGGGAGCTCGTAGTGCATCTTGACGGCAGAGGCTTTTGAATGTGAAAGTCAAAAGTCGCTTTGTAGTGGCTCGTGACCTACAGTGCCATCTCGGGAGCAATCCCAGCCTGTTGTCCCCACTGTCTAAGGGCGTTGCATGTAAGAACCATCAGACAAGATTCTTCCGCATGTGCACCCTTTCCATATGGATAGAGATCAAGCAATGTAACTAAACCATCTGACTTGCATCATTGGCTTCATTTCCGTGCCTAAGTCTATCCATGTGTTCTTTCCTGTGATCGGGAATGTCCATGTATGATTGAATTGGCATCTTGTCCTGAATGATGTTCACGATTGAGCCTGTCTGCAATCAACACTACTGCTGCTCGTTCAAATATTATGTGACCAGATCAAGAACTGTTTCCGGTAAAAGTACAATCAAGGTTGAAATACGAAGTAGCATCTATGCTGAACTCGCTACACCCAATGTGACCATCGCGCCTACAGCTTTGCCAGAACTCCGCTGCCGTTCAAGTACGCCACGTGACCCCTCGAAATTTCTTCAATGGTCCGCGTTCTGTGCGACACGAAAATCAGCATGGCTGCATATCGGAAAGGAGGAGTGTACTTACCCTGCAAGGGCCATCGCAATCTTGAGCTCGTACTGAAGAATCTTCAGCGCAAGCTCGCAACCCTCCTGGCCGTTGTAAGCCAGACCCCAAATGGGGATTCTTCCCACGAAGCAGTGAGACGCGCCAAGCGCGAGCGCCTTGAAGATATCGGTTCCGCGTCGGATACCGCCGTCGACCGCGATGGGAATCTTGCCTGCAGCTACAGGTGCGCAAATTCTCAGCGCATCGAGGGTTGCAGGAACGCCGTCGAGCTGTCGGCCACCGTGGTTGGAGATGACAATACCATCGATGCCGTACCGGATGGCCATCGCTACGTCGTCGGGGTTGTACACTGGTGACCCTTGTGATTAGCTTGTGACATCGGTTGCCGTCGCATTGCCGAGTACTCACCACCCTTCAACCAAATTTGGAGCTTGGTGTGCTGCTTCAACCACGGGATCGCGCTGTCCCAGTCAAGAGAGGGGTCTGAAATAGTTAGAAATGCGTTCCAATATCTCTTTTGGTACTCGTCCTTACCGAAGTCATGCTTGGAAACAGCCTGCTTGTCTTTGATCGCGCCGCTCAACTCGCTCTTTCCGTCAGACAGGAGATTAGGCCATTCAACGCCATCCGGCAGGGTGAAGTTGTTGCGGTACTCGTTCAAGCGGCGACCGAGGAGTGGTGTATCGACAGAAAGGAATATGGCCTTGTATCCGGAAGCTTTGGCAGGATGTCAGCACGTCACCCCCTCACATTCCGATCTTTGATTTGGGAGAATTTTATCATACCCTCCGCTCTCTTCAGTATTTGAATTGTTGTCTCGCGGTCTCTAAGCACACACAGCTGCATGACATAGGGATTTCCGAGCCCTTGCGCAGCTACGTTTTCCATGGACTCTGTCGCGTATGAGGAAAGGGCCATGCAGATGTTCATCTTCGCCGCGGCCCGTGATGTCGCGGCCTCGCCGTCTGGGTGTGCCAGCTTGTGCATCGCTGCGGGGCTGAACCCGAGGGGAAATGAAACCTTTCGAAAGGCGATCAGCAGAGCTTCTTGAAGAGTATCTGGCGGCGGCCGCGACAGAGTATTACCTTTGTACCGAAAATCGTTGTGGAAAGATCAATGTTGTCGACGTTGACGAGGATCCGGGGAAGGATCTTGTAACGGTTGTATGCTTCTTCGTTGTCCTTCAGGCTATGGCATACAAATCAGTGTCTGCTTTGCTCGAGCAAATTTACATCTTCAACTTACGTGACAAGATCCATGGCACCTTCGTTGTAGTAGTCCCTATACATCTTAGGCAGTTTCTTGCTTCCCAACTCCATCAGGTCGCGGATGGTATGGACCTTGGGGTCCCATGTTGCGCCGCGGTTCGCCATTGTGGTGACGAGGTCGTGTGATCGATGAAATGTACAAAGACGAAGAAATTAGAGAAGCAAAGTGTGCAGTGGTATCAAATAGCTACAGCAAAATCCTATCGTTGAAGAGGAGTATGCGAGGCAAGTTGACGATGAGCAGCAGCGGAGCTCCAGAGCTTCAATAAATTTACTTCACCCCAATCCCCACGACCTCCTAGCTTGAACTGTCCATTGTTGACCTTCCTGCCTCGGTGGCGGTGTGTATTCCGCATTCCCGAAATCGGGGTCCTGCTCCAGATCCCTCCCCCCTGGGGTTCACACATGCAGGGTGTCATCAGTCGCGTGCCGCCTGAGAAACTCGGCCGAGCAACCATCTCACACTCAGCGAATAATGTTACAGTCATTTCACGTTTGGAGCTCGCCAAACTTGGCAAGTAGCTTTGCAGATACCAGATCTAGGCTGCATGGCTTATCTGAGACCCGTGGGGGTGGTGCCAGTTGATTTGGGGTACCTCGCGGACGCTTGCCCAAACTACAACCAGGCATGTTGAGTAGACCCTGCTTCGAGGCGCATTGAATCGAGCTGGCCTATCAATGGCCGCGAGAATGAGGAAAAGCTTCAGCAAGATTCTCATCCCGACTCACTTTTGGGAAAGCGAACGGAGCTCAAGCTTACGGCCTGCATGTGCATGAAAGCTGTTGTGGGGTCTAGATGTGTGATCCACTTTATGTTCGAATTGAGAGAGTCGCAAAACGAAGCGCCAAACGCGTGAGACTAGCCTCGGCGAGACCTTACTCTAGAATCGATATTGTTCTTGTATTTTAGTACGTAATGCGTGATTCTATCTGGGGCATCCCGCCGATGTAATGGCTGCTGAGCTTCCTGATTTGACACGCCCCTACGCGACTGACGGAAGAGCTTCCGACTTCTGAATCTACCAAATGTTTGCATCTTTAATGATATATCACTTGTGATCGGGAGCTCTTCCGATTGTCTCGTTGTCACGAAATTGTTGGGTCCAGACACAATACGATCTTGAGAGCTTCGCTGGAAGCCGGCTTGATGTCGTCGAAGTCAAACACCGTCATCGCCTTGTCCTTGCCTGTCTCCTACTCCAAAGATCTCAATGACCAACATCAATACGCCTTGCCTCTTGGACAGCATCCCGCATCAAGCCCGAAAGCCCCGTAATAACACGAAGTTCCATCGACGTCTTCGCCTCCACAACGAGCAAATCGGATGATGGCCATGATCCCGCCACCACCAACGTCGTGACACCAGAGAACATCAACGAAGAGCCTAGCCCTAAGGTGGAATACACCACGAGGTCCCAGGATGGGTCAATACTGGTACACTGCGCCGTCGTTAAAACATATTCAACTTGATGAACCTGAATCGAAGGGATGGATCAAACTGGAATAGGACCGCACTTCTGCGGATACATGAGGAGTTGTACTCAGATGTCTTCAGTTGGCCTGAATGGCCGTGGTAAGGCAACGTCTTTGATATGTCCAAGCTCATGAAGATCCGCCGCAACCACGAGTGTATGGTTGCTCTCGCCGCCATCTGCCCATTCAGTGAGTCATTCTACAATTTCACGAACCCTCCGTCGACTGCTTCAGACCAATTCCTCTGACACCTTCTTATTTTCAGGCTTTTCAGCCGTGATTCCCATCGACACTAGCCATCACCGGAAACATCCTCATCCTCAAAGCCACCGAGCGAGACCTCGGCGCCGCCGACATGACCCTCACCGAAGTAGCTGAGGCAGCCTAAGATCGAAAAGACTTCGAGGACAGCGCCATTAGACGCGGATGCCGCCTATCAAATTATATCAACGACAACTTGCTTGGCCTACAGTGATAATCAGTGTCAAGCCGCGCATGACGGAGGACATCTAGAGACCTATTACAGTGGTTCCGGAAAGCTCTCATGCTGGCGACGACTACCCAGATCGTCAACGAGAAACTTCAGTGACAAGGCTAGCACTATGACAAGCTTGTTCTGAACTTCTACATTCAGATACGCTTGCGAGTCTATGGAAGCTGGTGACGAATACGCTATCAATCCCATCGTTGTGAAGCTCACGCGAGTTAGAAGGTAAACATGAATTAGAATACAGACAAAAGCAATCAAAACACTGACTCTTACAAACCCCTGCTCAATGACTCCGGCGTCAGCTGTTGAACCTCAGCGTACTTCACTTTCACGGTGCCGCGCCAGTCGATTTGTTGTTTGTGGGATGCCGCCTGCTCTTTGCGGACTTCGGACTTTTCCTGCACCATCTCGCCGAACGGCGTTGGTGACAAAACAACCAAGCCCCTTTTCTAGCAGTGTTTGTATTGCGCGATTGGTCTGCACCTCCTTCGCCTCGGTCGTCTTGGTAGCTGAAGTTGACCTTCCTGTGGAGTTGTTATCTACGCAAGCCAATCCAGCCTTCTTGTACTGTCCGATGGCCTCCGCAGAGAGCCTCCAGCCTTTCTTCTTCATCTTCCCGTGAACATCCACAGAAATCGACTTATCAAATTTCTTCAATAACCACTCAGCACGATTCCAAAGATCTAAGCACAGCTTCGCCCACATATACGCGTCGTTCAATGATTTACGTAGCACAGAACTTGATAAAGTGCCAAGTCATAGAATGTATCACGCATATCAATTCTTTAGCAAGTCGTGCAGGATGTATCCGGGGAACCGACCACCTGGTTCTGCTTGACGTGTGCAAACGCGGGGGAACCCACGTTGGCCCCGTAAAAAGGGAAAGTCAACACGACGACACCCCTTGGTTTCCCTTATCAAGGCTAGCTCTTGGAATTAGTTGCGTATCAATGGGCCGGATTACAACATTGTTACTACAGATAGCAAAGATATCCATGGATCTGGATTCAGCGCCAAGGCCCGTTTGGAGATAGAGGGACATGCGTGTCGCCTGACACCTTCAGCTTGTTGCCATCACTAACACCAATATGGTCGAGAATCACACCACGGCTTTGATCAAAGAAACTTCGTGCTCAAATGGACTGTGCCCGGATGATACGCTGAGCGTGAATTGCGAAATGGACAAGATATAAAAGTTAAGCATGCTTCCCTTGAAGCCTTCATGTCCTCTCTGCTACCCAGACCCCATCCAATTCAGCCCTGTTCACTCCTAGTCTCTCGCAATAATCGACAAACACAATGTCAGATTCACCATCACATCCCTCAATGTCGGAGAAAAAGACGGCCATTTCGGACTCAGCCCTCGAGCCAGTTGAGTCCGTCCTCGAGGGCCAGGGCGAACAACATGGCACAACACAAAGAGGCCTCAAGTCGCGCCATGCACAGATGATTGCCCTCGGCGGCACCATTGGGACAGGTCTCTTCGTCGGCATCGGTCAGGCCCTACACATGGGCGGCCCTCTCTTCGTCCTCATCGCCTACATCTGCATCACCCTCCTCCTCTACGGCGTTGCCACTGCCACAGGCGAAATGTCCTCCTGCCTCCCCGTGCCCGGCTCCTCCATCGCCTACTACGGCAACCGCTTCTTCTCCCGCTCCCTGGGCTTCACCCTCGGCTGGGTCTACTGGTACATCTTCTCCATCACCGTCCCCGCCGAGATCACCGCGACCTACATCGTCATAAACTACTGGTCGCCGCCCCTGCACATCGCCGTCTGGCTGACCCTCATCGGCCTCGTCATGGTCGGCCTCAACTGCTTCCCCGTCAAGGTCTACGGCGAGGCCGAGTTCTGGTTCGCGAGCATCAAGGTCTTCGGCATCATCGGCCTCCTTATGCTCTCCGTCGTCCTCTTCTTCGGCGGCGGGCCCTCCCACCAGCCGCTCTGGTTCTCAAACTGGTCCGACCCGGGGCCCGTCAAGGAGTACATCGTCTCCGGCAACTCGGGCCGCCTCGTCGCCTTCCTCGCCACAATCACCTTCTCCGTCTACGCCTTCGCCTTCGCGCCCGAGCTCCTCGTCGTCACGGGCGGCGAGATGGACAGCCCCCGCCGCAACATCCCCACCGCCACCCGCCGCTACTTCTACCGCCTCATCACCTTCTACATCCTCGGCGCCCTCGCCGTCGGCATCATCGTGAACTCGGAGAACCCGAACCTCCTCAGGGGCGGCAAGGGCGCCGGCGCCTCCCCCTGGGCCATCGGCATCCGCGACGCCGGCATCCGCGGCCTCGACTCCGTCGTCAACGTCGTCATCGTCCTCTCCGCCTGGTCCGCCGGCAACTCCTACCTCTACCTCGCCAGCCGCGCCCTCTACTCCATGGCTCTCGCCGGCAACGCCCCGCGCATCTTCACGCGCTGCACAAAGTCAGGCGTGCCCTACTACGCCACCGCCGCGAGCGCATCCCTCTCGCTGCTCGCCTACCTCAACGTCGCCTCCACCGGCGCCACCGTGTTCAACTGGTTCGTCAACCTCATCAACACCGGCGCCTACCAGAGCTGGATCTGCTGCTGCGTCGTCTACCTGCGCTACCGCAAGGCGGCCGACGCGCAGGGTGTCGCGGACGTGCCCTTCCGCTCGCGGTTCCAGCCGTACTCGAGCATCGTTAGCATTTGCGGGTTTGGGCTGTTGCTCGTGGTGAACGGGTTTAAGGTGTTTCTGGACGGGCAGTGGGACACCTCGTCATTCCTGACGTCGTACATTGGCGTCGTCATCTTCTTTGCGTTGTACTTTGGGCACAAGTTCACCGTGGGCAGGGGCGATGCGTGGGCGCGGGATCCGATGGACGTGGACTTGGTGAGCGGGCTGGACGAAGTTCTGACGCAGGAGACGCCTGCGCCGCCAAGGACGAAGTGGTATCAGAAATGGAGGGTTTTGTTTGAGTAATTGATGGATATAGAGGGATGTTTTGTATCCTACCACAGCCATCGAAGTATCTAGGAAATTGAGAAAAAGGGGGTCGGATTCCATCCGTACACTTTCCCCCAGCTTCCGGGCCGGTTGAAACGGCCCGTAGAACTCTCATAACTTCAAAATCTACTGTGCAGTATCTTCATGCTTATTTCGATGCCCTTTCCTTTGGAGACTTCGCCCAGTATTGTCCTATGGTCTGCTGATCTGGATATGGGGGCATTTCCCGGTGCCGGTCGACCGGATATCCGACAGAACTGACCGACCCATGAGTACCTATGTAAGGTATTTGCCTACATGTCTCCGCCTCTCATAACCGTCTCTATACTTCACCTCCGCCGTAAACTTCATGCAACATCATGCAACAACACTTCATCCGTTCATTCTCGACTTTCAAGATGGCCACTTCCACGCTCAGCATCGGCACATCCTCATCCGCGAGCTTCCGCGTCAAATCCACCGACCTCGCCAGCGCCATATCAACGGACCCCCAAGACGAATCCCCCTCCGTCTTCGCGACCTCCCGCCTCGTTGCTCTGATGGAAATCGCGAGCGCCCGGGTGCTCAAGCCGTATCTGGAGCCTGGCCAGCTGTCTGTAGGGGTGACTATTGACGTCTTACACACCACCCCCACGCCTGGCGATGCCTTGGTGACTGTCGAAGCCACATACAGAGGCAAGAAAGGGAAGTTGTTCGTGTTTGATGTTGTGGCCTCAGACGAGGGCGGCGAGGTTGGTGCGGCGGTGCATAAACGGGCTGTCGTCGACGCGCAAAGACTTCTGGCTGGGGCCAAGAAGAGGGTTGCCGATTCGCCTTCACAGGTGACGTGACAGTTTGTCATAGTACCTGCTAGAAGTAATGAACATGACCTTTCTTTTCCAATGGCTACATGGAGATAGAAACTGCATTGAGAGCATGTTACATCACAAGAGATATCCGCTCTTCCTGCCCCCCGTATGAATATTTTGGCTTATGAAAACAACACAATCGCGCTGGGAGGAACAGATATCTGTGACAATATGATAGGTCTTACTATCTGGAGGGACACTTTCAGCAAACTGTCTGGGCGGATACTCTCAGCTCACTTGGTGTTGCGAAGATAAGGCGCAATTGCTGCTTAGCAATTGTGGTTCCACTTTTGCAACACTTGGCGGATACTATTAACCAGCTGCGGATACTTTGCTAACGGAGCGGTACCTTACATCGACTTGCATCACTGCTCTTTTCATACGTCAGATATAAAGCTGTTCCGTTAATCTTACTGCTCATCGCTGCCCGCCCAGATAGCCTAGTTCGGTATAATTGCGTCGGACAATATTTAGACTATCGGCTATTACATTCACACAAAAGATGAAAATGATGGGGAGAAACCCAAGTCCGTTGCCGTTCTTGGCTATAGTAAGGAGTAGATCGATAGTGTTCGCTATTGGGCTCTGTTCAAGGGCAGATGTGACAGTCACCACACCGCATATCAACCGAGTACGAGGCTGAGCAACGTTGAAATGAGCGCAAACGAACGTATTACTTTTATTTAATCAAACGTGATCTTGGTACCGGTGTGCTTGGCCGCAACACCCGTCAGTCTCGCAACCATCAGATCGTCCTGCGCCTTGAGCTCTCCCGCCGGCTTGGCAGGACGAGGCTTCCTCTCCCGCACCTCTCCCTCCGCATCACCGCCCTCCTGCTGCTCCCTCTTGGGCGCGCCCTTGCCGAAGCGCTTCTTGTACCGCGTCTGGTCGTCCTCCGCCAGCTCAATCTTGAGCGGACGGCCGAGCAGCTTGTTCACCCACCACTTCCTCGTCTTGACCTTCTGCTCCTCGACCGGCTTCTTCTTCGGCTTCTTCTCCTCTTGCTCCACCTCGTCATCATCCCCGTCCTTCATCTCCTCGTCGCCCTCCTCGTCCTTGCTCTTCTCCTCGACAAAGTCCTCCTCCGTCTCGATCTCCTCCTTGATCTTGACGAACCCCTTGACAGCCCACCCCGCCGACTCGGGCTCTCTGAACTTGACCCATCCGTACCCCTTGCACTTGCCCGAGTCCTCAAACGTCGCGACCTTGACCCAGTCGATCTGCCCGCACTTCTCAAAGTGCTGCTGCACGTCCTCCTCCGTCGTCTTGAAGCTCAGGTTGCCCACAAAGATCTTGCTGCTCGTCGGCACCTCCTCCTTCACCGCCGCCTTGCCCCCAGGACCAGCACCGCCCTCCGCCGCCGTCTCCGCCTCCTTCTTCGGCCGCCCCTCAAACGACCGCGCGTCCTTGATCAGCAGCTTGCGGTGCCCCAGCTCCGCCTCCGTCAGCGCGAGCGCCGCGATCTTGGGCGCGACGTCGTCAAAGTCGACATACGCGAAGCCCTTGTTGTTCGGCTTCTCGCGGCCGGCGACCTTGGTCGTCGGCATGTGCAGCCGCGTGATGCTGCTCTCGGTGATCATCTCGCCCGAGTTGGCCATCAGCCACTTGCGCAGCTCGTCCGCCGTCACGAAGAAGGGCAGGTTGCCGACCCAGACGCCGTGCTCGGAGCGCTTCGCGGCCTCCGCCTTGTCCTCCTTGTCCTTCTTCTTCTTGGCCTCGCGCTCGTCGTCGCTGTCGAGCTTGGGCGGCAGCTTCTTGCCCTTCTTGAGCGCGCGCTTGGCGCGCTTCGAGGGCGGCTCCGGGGCCTCGAGGTCGACTTCGATCTCCTCGACGTTGGCGGCGGAGGACTTGCGCTTCTTGGAGGGCTTGTCGGGGGTCTCGTCATTGTCGGACGAAGCGGCGGCGGCGGCTTCGTCTTCGTCGTCGGTCTTCTTGGACTTGGACTTTGACTTCTTCTTGGGCTCGGGGGAGGCGGCGTCGGCGACCTCCTCTTCGACGACTTCCACCTTGGTCTTCTTGGACTTCTTCTTGGGTTCAGGCGCGTCGGCGACTTCTTCGGTAATCTCTTCCTTGACCTTCTTGGACTTCTTCTTCTTCGGTTCCGGGGATGCGACGGCGACGTCTTCGACGGCGACCTCGTCCTTGACCTCCTTGGTCTTGGACTTGGACCGCTTCTTGGTTTCGGAAGTGGCCATTGTCGATGGTTTGTGAGGTGCGCAAAGGCCTGAAAGTCCCGGTGTGTTCGAGAAGCTTCAATGGCGATCGGTCTGTTGCAGGTCGCGCGACTGAGAATCTCGACCGTGGGGACCCTTTGCCAATGGACTGCCCCGAAATTTTTTTTGTTCTTTCGATTGAGACTGATAACCGATAAGGCGATAAAGAGTGGTAGCTTGGTGGCCCGTTCACCGAGACTGACCTCGGTGGGTCCCCAGGTTGGCCGGGCGGATGTAGGGGTACCGGTGCAAGGTGCATGTACAAGTACCTACCTTTGCATCTTGCTGTGGCTGCAGAGAACTGACTCTGTTTAATGGTTTAGTGCCAAGCCAGATCCAAGTTCCCATGATGGCTGGGCGATTCCGCCCAAACCACGACTGGTTTTTGTTTTCTTCCTTCTCTTCATTCCTGAGTGCAGAGCCCTGAGTAAGCTCCGAGGGAATGGTTCCAATCGAGCGAAAGGAAGAAATGATTACTGAGACCTGCGGGTTTAAGAGTTGAGACCATGGTGTCGTGTATGTCTGTCTTTGGCCTGGGCATCCATCCTCACTCACACTGGTCTTGTTTTGATTCAGCTGCTGCTGCAGGTTATCAACCGCAATAACATACCAGGGTTGTTTTATAGTACGTAGTGCGGAAGATGAGCATAAAAACGAGACATCCCGAGGCAACAAAGCGCAATGTAACGTAAAAACGAGATGAGTTAAGTCAGAATTAAGCACTTGGCCCTCCAAGGTCGGTGAGGGGGCATCCACTCGGCAGCGGGGGGTTCCAGGTCTCCCTTTTCAGGGACAGGATCCGAAGTGCTCGCCGGTTGCCGCTCGGAGGTCTCTGTCAGTTGACGGTGCAATGTAGCCGATTGGGAAAGGCAGCCGGAGCAGGCCGGGACACGTCGGCAAGCCGGGCGGCGCTTCACGGCTTGCCAAGGCCGCGTCCCAGCCATCTCCATTGCTGTTGGCATCCGTAGGCCGACACGGCAGCAACTCTCCCCAGCTGAGGGGCACACCGTATCCGTTCACAGCGGCGGGCAGGACGGCAGCTGAGAAAGAAGGCGGGAGAAGAACAGTGACAGTCGAATGAAAAAGCGAAGAAAAAGCGCCTGTGCAGAGACAGGAACAGGCTAAGGCAGCTAGGAGCTGAACCCCACATGCAACACCACAATGGTGCACCATCAAGCCACCACTAAGGAGGCGCCAGCGCCGTCGCCTTGGAGCCCTCCGTCATCCACTCACGTGCGGCCATTTTCTGACGAATGAGACCCGCCAGCCGCCTGGCGAAACCTCCAGCGCCAGCCAACCGCCGCCCCGGTTCCGCGGTACGTACCCTTTGTCGGTAAAAGTACCGCTACCTCTGCAGGTGTACACGATGGACCTCTGCAGCGCTGCACCCTTGCCTTCCCTTCCCGCCCTTGCTGTTTCGGCATTGTAGGGCATCCGTCGGGTTCATCAGTCACGCTCGCTGCAGCAGTGGATGCCCACCCCCCCCTTGACCGCCTCTGCCTCTGGTTAATATTACAGGCCTGCAGCAGCGTCCATCCACTGACAGAGCTGCAGTGCAGATTCTGGGTGGATGCGTCCAACGGGATCCAGCCAACGCACGTTGCTTGGGTGTGGATGGGGTTTGGCAAGGGTGGTGGCCCACAGGTCACCGTCACCACCTTATCCGTCCAGGTATGTAGCCTGGGTAGTGGGTACGGGTACGTTGGGCCCCCGTCTCTAGCCTAACAAGCACCATTGTGGAAGACCAAGTCCGCTGTATTCTCACGCAAACCAACCGAGAAACCAGACGAAAAAAGGTGAAGGGCCCTTTTTTCCCACTCCTCCTCCACCTCGCTCGCCCTCTTCCACTGCTTTGCTTTCGCTTCCGTTGCTCCATCTCCATCGCTCCCCTTGACACTCCTCCCAGGCCTTTGCCCCCCAAACAAATCCTCCTTCTTTCCCCTCACCATTCACAACCACAACAACATTCACACGACTTCATTCAATCGCCAGCACCACTTCTGATCGCTTTGCCCGCCGCGCCGTCTCGTCGCTTTCAATTAACAGAAGCTGGCATTCTAGACGTTCCTGGACTGTTGTCGTCGTCGCTTGTCTGGTCGCAACCGTCGTCGTCATCCAGACTCAAAAACCCACCGACACCCGACCGACCGATCGTTCGCACTCATTCCGACCATGAATGTGCTGCTCTCGCCACAACCGCCCCTATTCCAACATCCCCACGACGCAAACCGCATTTCTCCCTCTCGTTCTTGTCAGTATTTTCCCGCTGCCTGCGTTTGAGTGCTTTCCCCCCCTTGCGCTGCTTCAGAAACGGCCCAGGCTTCGCCATGCATCCCGACCCAACGCTAACCCGAAAACAGTGAGCCCATTTCACAACATGGCCACCAGCCGCAAGCGCAAGGCCGACGAAGATGGCGACGAGATGTCCCTCTCCCCCAGAAGCTCCCCTTCCGCCTCGGCGAGACAGCTCGCCCGACCGTCGAAAAAGGTCCGTTCCAACGAGCTCATCGGCCGCCCTCTTACGCTCCCCCGACTCCTCGAGACTTTGGATCCTACCCAGCTGCGCACCGTCCTCGAGCGCATCTGCGAGCGCCACCCTGAAATCGGCCACGAGGTTGTCACCGGCGCCCCCCGACCGACGGTTGACGCCGCCCACGGCGTCCTGCGGGAGTACCAGGAGAAGATGAAGGCCGCGATACCCTACGGCGAAACCAGCCCCGACTACACCTACTACCGTGTCAAGGCGCCGCTCACAGCCCTTATCGACGCCCTCCTCGACTTCACTCCCCAGTATCTGCCCCCCAACGAGACCCAGACCACTGTCTCGTTGCAATATCTGGACGGCGCCACCAAGATCATCCACCAACTCCCCGACTGGGAGCCCCAACAGTACCGCCACCACAAGGAGAGCGCATATGACGAGATCTCCAAGGCCTGGGCCCTGGTCGTCAACGAGGCCGCCAAGCGCGGAGGCGGCCTCAGCCTGCACACCGGCGGATGGGACGAGATCCTGGCGAAACACCACGAAATCTCTGGCGGACGCATGGGCACGGCAATGAACGCGATGGCGGCGGGAGTGAGCTGGATGGCCACCAACTCGGCGAACGGAGGAGGACAACCCGCAAATTCTACATCGGACCCGAACTCGATTCTCAACCAACTCATGTCTGGAACGTATGGAGCGCCTGTGCGTGTTGGACCCTGGTAAAGGCGAGGAGGACGTAATTGGCGATGCATGACGGGCCACGACAGGACCAGATCGGCCCACGGTCGATCGCTTCACTGAACATATCACGACGACTATAACGACGGCTTCTTGGTCATTTCCGACTTCTTTTTTCTCTTTCCACACTTCATTCAGCATGGGACGGCAAAGGGCATAGACTTTTGGTTTCCGTGGACAAATTCATGTCAAAGGCTGGGGTTGGGCGGCGTTTTGTCATTTTTCCTGATTGATGATATCCCTTTCCTATCGCATGCCGCGCAGTCGTTCCCACGCAAGGGACGTTGGGTTCGTTTCATGACGGCACAACCTCTCCCTGCGAACACATTGGGTCTGACGAGGAAATCGAGTCACACATTCCACGTGTAGGTAGTTTTGGTATTTGGAGGGTGTCACACAGCACAGGGGAGGAGGAAGCATTGGGGGTGGCAAGCAATCTACAAACCCTCCCGCTTGGGGAGTTTTCTGTCCAAACACACAAACACATACATAATTATCGCTCTCTCAATGGCGTCTGTCGCAATTTGGTGAGCCGTGTCATGATCATGCAGTCATGGGGTGCAGTCTCGAGTCGTGCAGAGCGGAGCGTCTGTTTCATCGGCGTGAGCCAACTGCCGTACTTACTTAGGTATTCATCGATTGAGGCATGTCATGGCAGCATGAGAAATTAAGAGTATTAGCACCGCACATTGGATACCTGCAGCCAAAAGTATGTCCCTAGCACCGTTCGCCCGTTTGTGAGTGGGCTAAAAGGACGCATCTGTTTCAACTGCCCACGGCATCGGTGACACGAATCACACGATGGGCAGCCGTCCGTCCATCCATCCACCACTCACTCGTGTACGGTGATTTTTGTGTAAACTGGGCCAAACTTTCCAGCAAGCCAGGCAGGTAGAACAAGGTAGCCCCGTTGCCCCACGCGGCAACCTTCTCTTTCCACAACCTGTGCATCCGATAGTTCCTCACGAGTTGGCTTTCCGGGGTTCTACGATGGGTTTTGTGCCTTCTTCTGACGCAAACCCCCTCCCTCCGTGCGTGCCTGATCATCATCAACCCATAACCAGTAACAAGGTCTTGCCTGTTGTCTGGTCTTTACGTAGTAAGGATCTTGAAGAAGGTTTCCGCGTTCCTTCGTTATTTTATTCTCCCCCAATCGATCGCGCAGCTTCATCTCGCCGAAGATGGAACGAAATAAGCAGCAGGCACAGCGTCACTTGACCCCGCGGTTCGTGCGCTGGAGCCAGGCCTGAAACCCGTGTCGAATGCACGTCTCTCGCCCGTCGTGATGAGATTGGGTTGGGCATTCGGGGAAGGGCACCGAGGAAAGGGCTTCTTTTTTGCCCATCTTCATAGACACACCTGGGCCGTCCCCGATTACGAGATGAGGCGCCGCCCAAAGACTTGCGTCCGGGCCGTCAAGGGTGCTCCAGGGAAGGTTTGGCGGGGTAGGTTTGTGGAGGTCCACCGGCCACGGGTGGCCTTGCCCTTCTCCAACCGTTCACTGTTCGGACGACAGGCGCCAGCGCCGCGGCGAACTCTCAGGCACCGTCAGCGGGTAGAGTACCTGCCGCTTCAGCGCCCCGGGCCTGGGGGAAGCCTTATTGGTGTCCCGTCCCGCCAGGGTTGGTGGGGTCCAGGCACCAGGCAGGGGCTTATCTAATCATCTACATTGTGTGCTCTAGGCACCATACGTCACGTGAAGACCCGGCCTCGACGCGTGAACTGAACGCGCCACCCATCTGCAGTCACAACAGCTCGAACCTAGGCAGCGAGAGCACCCATCAACCTCACAACCCCTCTTCACGCCTGCCAAACGTCTCAATTGTTTGCCCTCGAGCTGCACTCAAGACCGTGTCGTATATTGCATGCACAGGGAGAATCGAAGCTCACGTTCGACAAGATGCCCGCGTACGTTCATCTCGACGTCCCCCAAAGCGTGTCGCGACCACCAAACTGACATTCCCTGCACCGCAGCCCGGGCGACCAGCACAGCACCTGGGAGAATCCCTTCGAGGAGCCCCAGAAGCGCATGAGCGAGTACACGGCCCAGGAGATCGCCACCCTCCAGAGCCGCCTCGAGAAGCAGCTCGGCCCCGAGTACATCTCCGCGCGCGCCGGCCCCTCGGGCCAGAAGGTGCACTACATCGCCGCCGAGAAGTGCATCGCGCTCGCCAACGAGGTGTTCGGCTTCAACGGCTGGTCCTCGTCCATCCAGAACATCCAGGTCGACTTCGTCGACGAGCACCCGCAGACCATGAAGATCAGCCTCGGCCTGTCCGTCATCATGCGCGTCACGCTGCGCGACGGCACGTACCACGAGGACATTGGCTACGGGCACATTGAGAACTGCAAGGGAAAGGCGGCGGCGTTCGAGAAGGCCAAGAAGGAGGGCACGACGGACGCGCTGAAGAGGGCGCTGAGGAACTTTGGCAACGTGCTGGGCAACTGCATATACGACAAGGACTACCTGTCCAAGGTGACCAAGATGAAGGTCGCGCCGACAAAGTTCAACGAGGGCGAGCTACACAGGCACTCGGACTTTGCAGCCAAGAAGGAGGAGAAGGCTGCCTTGCCGCCGCCGCCGCCGGTCGTTAAGCAGGAGACGACGGCGGATTCGCTCGAGGATCTTTTGGAAGGTAGGATATGTCCACTATTCCGATTCAGGACCAAGCACTGACAGATTCCAGACTTTGATGAGGCAGACTTCGCGGTTGTTGAGGGCGAGCATCCAGACGAAGTAGTTCTCCCACCAGCAGTAAACAACACAGCAAACAGCAGAGCTGCGAGCGTCGCGCCAGCACCACCCGTACCTCAGCACATGCAGACATCCAACAACAGACCTCTGGGCAGGAGCACATCAGCAGGAAACCTAGGCCGAGCTCCCCAGACACCAAACCAAGCACACTCACGTCCCCAACCGCAAGCAGCCTACGGAAACCGCCCTCAACCACCTAACCAACCACGCGCACCCACGAATCCTACCGCCCCGTCAGCTCCAGCAGCCCCGCCGGCGAATGGCAACATGACGACCCCAGGCGGCGGCGGCGGCGGTGCCAACCCCGCCGAGCCAATAGCCTTCTTCTCCGCACGTGCCGTACAGCAAATCCCCGATTCTGCTCTGCAGGGGAACAACACTGACGCTCCTCTCATGATGCCAGCCGGGCAACAAGCCTTCAATCCCAAGGCAGAGAGCCCATCCATACGCAAAACCCCCGGCATAGACCACAACTCCTCGAAGCCCCTTTCACGCAACGGCACGCACGTTCCGCCCACCTCAACACAGCAAGCAGAGACGCCAGCAAAGGGATCCGGATTCACGCCTGTTAGGCCCGCTGGTGCCGGCCCGGCGCCGAATCCGCAGTTCAGTCAGGCCCGACGTATCGGTGCCCCCGGTGGCGCGGGTAGTCCCCTCGCCAATCGTGGCTCATACAGGCCGCCGACGATGAAGAGGCCGCTTCAGCAGGATGGTGGGGCCGGACGCCCTGCTCTGGCGGACGTGTCGAATAATGGCGGTGTTAGCACGGCGTCTGGTGGCGGGCCTGGGCTTGATCCCAAGCGCCAGAAGATGTCATAGAGGGTTTCGAAGGAGGATAGTCATTAGATTTGGGGCTTTTGAGTTTTGATGTCCGGAGCTCAGGCGTCGGGTAATTACAGGGGCATATCGTACGGAGTTTTGGGACGGCCGTGCTGTCGGAATGGGACTGTTAGGTTCAGCGGTAGAAAGATGTGGAATCATGAACTGTTTTCTTGGTCAATGACATGATTATCCGAGTTTCGATGCTGTGCTGTGTTGATGGTGCGTGCGAAACGAGACCGGTTGGGATATTGGGCAGACCGCTCACGATCTGTCAAGCCCGCATGATCGTCAGATAGTCAGTTCCAGGGTCCCGGATAAGCTGCAACGGAGGTTGTTGTCGTGGTGCTCGACCTGTAGTGGGAAACGGCCCGGTTGAGTATATAATGCATCTCTTATGCTGGCTACATGCTCCTCTCTTGACATCAATCAGCGACACGGTATGGAAAACGACAATCCGGAGGCATTCTTGTCAGTGCCTGGTGTTAAGACATCCTGTTCAGAATCTGGTTGGCCGATGAGCGGCGTTGCAGACTTTCTGTTTGTCTACTATTTGCGGCCTCGTCTTTTCTCGTCTGTGTTGTTTCTTGGGTGTTTGATCGGTATTCGGGGGTTTACTATGTGTGCCGTGTCGGCTGTAAGTTGTCGTGCGACATGAACGGGGGTACTCTTTGGTGTCGACTCAGGTTTCACAGGTAGTCGCGAAACACCCAATGACGCTCCTGGAGCTGATCATTTGGCCTTCTCATCCACTTCGAATAGCTTCACCACTTGTTTAAATAATGGCACGGTGAGAGAGCCTGAGGTCCCACGTCCCCGATGGGAAGCACGCGTCGCGTCTGATAGCCAGGCGCAGCCAAGGTGAGCAAGGCATCGTCAGCCAAAGAGATTCCTCACACTGGTATAAAGGCGTGTCCGACGAGGCTTCCTTTTCTTCAAATGTGCGCAAGCAATTGTTTGGGTAAGTACCGTGGAATTGCATCCGCTCTTGCTACAGTTCAAGTCTGGAGTTGGAGCGGGCGCTGTCTGCTTAGAACACAAGTGAGGTACACAAGGCTTCAACTTCCATACTTCGGCTCGGCTCTGGTTTTCATCTTTTCCCGCTGCCTATTTGTACATAATAATACCCCGTGGCTTGATTTGTGCATGTTTTGGACCGCTGGCATCTTGAGTTCTCGATCTTGTTTGTCGCGAGTGTGGGCGGGACTTTGCAAACTCAGCATCATAGAACAAGCCCACATTGTCGGCGAAAACGATTCGACGGGTTTATGGTGAGTCTTTATGGGTTTCGATGTGGTCTCATGTTCATGTGGCTATAATACATGACACGTCGTCGTATTTCCTCGGGTTCTGACAGGCAGAATGCGACGGGATCATTCAAGGTATTCTCTGAGTTCAACGCAAACAGCACGAGTCTCTCCGACCATTGGCCAGTCTTGTCTTGGTGGCCTGGTCACTGAAAACCTTTCCATCTTTTTTACAGCTTGCCTTAACATCGTCCTGCGTTTCTTCCTCCTGTGTATTCCTTACGGTATGAGTGATACTCAGATGCTTGTTTCGATGAGTATGAAAAGAAAAGGAGCGACAGAGGCGGCACACGGAGTGAACTCCAGCTTTGACAGCAAACGTTTTCAAAATCGTGGATCGAGTCGGCGATTTCATTTGTTCCCGGACGTACTTCATAATCATGAGGGCCTTTTATAGCAGAAACTCGGCAAAATGAAGGTGCGGGAGAATTCCAGAGGGTGATTTGCGATGGTTGATGATCAGATTGGCATCGCTGGTGATCGTCTTCAGCTTCCGTCTGGGAATTCATTGTTTACTTAGTCCAGGACAAGTTGTCGTCTTGGACATATATAATGATCTTAAGCAGGGACAGAGTGATGATTTCGACAAATGTCTAGGCGGAATCTTGTTGTGAGCTGCGGTGCATATCCAAGCTTCTGGTAATGCTGATGCAATAGCGGTCTTCGGTCAAGGTGCAATGATAAAAAGTATCATTTCTTGATTATCTGCTCGTTCTGGGAGTGTTCTGTTCTTTCGTCCGGCTCCCCCTCCTCCTCATACAGTCGGCATACTCACTAGACGCCACCATGATTCTCAAGTTTAAAGACAGGCTCAAGAGAGGCTTAACTAGCAGCTAAGGCTGAAGCAGCACAGGAACGCAGCTAACAAATTTTGTACTTAGATTGCTATTAAACTGATCGCCAGGATGCACTTCTGTGTTCCATTGGTTTTTTTTCGGAGTCGAGCGAGATCGAACGAAGAAGTAACGAATATAATAAGCCTTAGGTGATTTGGTATGTTTCCTCAGTAATGCCCTTTAGTTTCAATGCGTTGTTCTCGCGACTCGTTAACTGCAAAGCCAATGACGGGCTTCTTGCGTTTGAGCATTCCCTTGAGGCAACAGCGTTTGTCAATCTACCTCTTTAATACTCAGAACCCCTTCGCTCACTGTCGTCTGCTGATTCCGTGAGTATATTCTACGAGGGGAATATGTAACAGCGAGCGAGCATAAGTCTTGTCAGCGTAGACAGAGAACAGGAGTGTAGGTTTAGGCATTTCTAAGGGTTTAGTTGATGCTGTTGTAGATCTCACTAAATGTGCGCCAAATGATTTCCCGCTTCGTTATCACTATTCTTTGTTACGCTTTATATCAGGATTCAAGTGTACTTGAGGGCTACAAAAGCCAATACGTGCAAGAGGTTGTTGTAACCGAGATGCATGTTGCGAAGGGGTTAGTTGATAAACGCTGAGAATTTACCTCATTAGTGCCGCGGTATAACTAGTATCCTATATTCCTCCAGGCGCTTCTAGGCTTTTCTGTGCGACCAGTTGTTATCCCTCACGAATACTCAGCTGGCGTGACGCTCCTGGTATCTTGATGGCTCATGGAAAAGAGGATAATTTTCACGAGTATCATTCTCTGGAATCCAATTGACGACAAAGCTAATCGCTCAAGAAGCAGCTCTCATCGTCCTTGTCTTTGCTCCTGCTATGCTACACCACCAGCAGCTGCAAGGGCATGTTTACATATCCAATACAGAAGTACATATGAGCTATGCTATTGCAATCGACATGAAAAAAGCGCAACACCCGCGAAGACATTAAGTTCTTGAACTTATGTACAAAGTAGTATGTGATATCTAGCAGCGCCAGCTTTTGGTACCCTTCAGTCACATTCCATCGTGCTGCTTGACGCCCTCCAGAGCCTTCAAATATCCCAAGCGGTCGACGACATAGAATTCGGAGTCCATCGCGCCCAAGTCGACGAACTCTTCGTCCAAGCTTCCTGCCTTGATGGCAAGAACAGAGGTGGACGCGTCGGGAACGCCGTGGGTGGATGCGCCGCAGTTGTCGCAGAAGTGGCTGTGGTACAGCTTGCCGGAGTCGCCAAGGTGTGGATAGGATCTGGTGATACCTGCAGTTGCATGTCAGAAAAGTACAATGAGAAACTTGTGAGGTGAGGCGGATCCTCGGACACGGACACACTCTCTTACCTTGGGTTATCTTGAAGGCGCTGCGGGGGATGATGACGTTGACGCTGAAGGCGCTTGCAGTCCGCTTTTGACCCTATGTTAGGCTCGGTTGTAGTCTTTGTTTGAAGATGATCTTACTTTCTGGCAAGGCTTGCAATGGCAGACGGCTTTCGTAGCGTTGTCCACTGACATGATGAGTTTCGGAATGACGATTGCGTTGTCAGGCTGAACTCACGTTCCGCGGTGTACCTCACGGCACCACAAATACAGCCTCCGGTGACAGCCATCGTTTCTTTCGACACTTGAATTATGAGACTAAAAGATGTGGAAGGGTGAAGTCTCTAATCTTATGAGGTTTGGTTGAACAGACCTGGGATAGGCGAAAATGAATTGATGGAAAGTTTGAAACCTTTTTCGTCTTCTTAGAGCCGTAATCCGTTATTTAATTCACTCTCCAAGTGCAAAATCTTTCACTATACCTTATATTATTAATGAATGTTGCTGTTTGTAAGGTATCGGTGTCATTGTGGGCTCGGGATTTACTTTGGTGAGCGAAGCCCATCCGATGACAAACACCATGTTAAAGTCAACCTGTCTCCACTCAACAAGATCAAACATGTGTTTCCCCTTCGATTAGATAATTCAACTAGCCTTGCCATGGTATTGCATTAAATTTGTAAGATGGAGTCGGTACAACGCCATTCTGTCAGCTCCCAATAGCCTAGGTCACCACTGTGCCTCCGGTGATGCTCATGACGCTACTGAGCTTGATGTGATACGGCCTTTCTTCACCTGCGCTCCTCCCACATTTCTTCGAGTATTGGGACAAGATCAGTCGTACTCACCTGCAGGGAACCCACTGCTCCTTTCTTCCCGAACTTGCCCTGCTGCATGTACACACTGCTGATGATCCTTCTGGCCAACGTCTCGACGTCACGACCACTGGCCCACCCCGTTGTGAGGCTAAGACTTTCAAACAGGTCGTGGACAATCTCCGATGAGTCATCTCCTTCCACGATGCCGATCCTAAGCTTATGAAGCTGATTCTTGAGATACTGAAGACATGCGTGTGGAGCCATGGGCTCAAATGTGATATGTTCTGGGAATCTGCTTCGCAAACCCGGATTGGTTTGCAGTAAACATTCCATCTCGCGGGTGTACCCGGCCAAGATTATGACCATGTTGTTCCTGTATCGCGGCTGCGTCATGGCATCGACTAGCTCTCCAACGGCTTCCATGTGGAAGTTAGAGCCACTTGTGCCATTGGTGCCCGTGGCCAAAGGGTAGGCTTTGTCAATGAATAGCACTTTTCCGAGGCCGGTCTCAAGGGTATTGAGAACTTTGGGACCGGTTTGCCCCACATATTCTCCAACAATATCGGTGACTGAACAAGTCACAACCTCGTCTGTGGAAAGCAGGCCCATGTCGTAGTATAGGCGTCCAATCTTTCGAGCCGTTGAAGTCTTACCAGTGCCAGGCGGGCCCTTGAAGATAAAGGCCCATGGAATATGGGGCTTGGGATCAATGTCATGTAGCCGCATGCCGTCAACTAAGAGCTGATATCCTTCAAACTTTTCGACAATCTCTCTGAATCCGACGAAGTCTTTGAAGAGGGCTGCTCTGTTTCCCTCAGCCTGTGAAGCCCGATCCCATTGTGGATTGATGTCGGCAGGTTCGACGGCAGGTTGCCCGTGAGAAAGTCCGGATCTGATTCTAGCATTCAGGCGGACCTTCGCCTGGTTGAGTAGGTTCTCGACATCTCCCGCATTGCCGAATTTGGGGTTAATGCGCATGCGACTGATGACTTGTCGAGATACTGCCCTGGCATCCTGTGTTGCTCGGCTTTTAGATCCATAATCTGGCATAGTTCATCCTCGCTGTACGGGTCAAAGTGTAAAGCGGTTTCTTTGGGGAAACGTCTCTGGAGCCCCGGATTGTAGTTGTTGAACAGTTGACCCATCTCGTAATCGTATCCGACAAGTATGATACATCTGTTCTCCGGATCTGCGAATACGTTCGCAACAATAGTGTCAAGCACAGCTGTGCGATAGACATCCGTCTTGTTGCCGCCTCCATTTGCTCCGGGATACAACATATGTGCGTCGTCGATGATGAGCACGTTTCCACGAGCTTGAGAGAGGATGTCCTGTGTCATCTGCTCCGATTGCCCAGGGTATCTACCAATCAAGTCAGACGGATTTCGGACCATAACCTTTGTTCCAGTCAGAAGCCCGAGGTCAATGAGTATCTGGCCGTATAATGCAGCGACGGTGGTTTTCCCTACTCCAGGGGGTCCGAGAAATAATCTGTTCAGACCTATCTTTAGCGGCTTCACTCCCAGAAGCTCACGTTGATAATTGGTCTGAGAGAAGTCGATGGTATTGCCAATTTCGCTCTTGACTTTGTTTAGTCCGATCATGGTTTGTAGCTTTTTCCATGAGGCGTTGTGGATCCTTGCGTCCTTAGGCTCTGATCCTAAGAGGTCTTGTGGCATGAAGACCATATTCTGCTTGTCGATGACGTCAAGAACTTTGGGGGCTTCGGTGGCGTCCATCTCGCCATCCTTTTGCCGGGCGGAGAGACCTGATGACTGGGAGTCGGAGTTTGTAAGATTGTCAAACCATCGCATGTAATCCGCTTGAAGTCGACGTGCTCGTCTCTTGCATGCCTCGTCCAACTCTTGCTGCAAGTAATCAAACACGCTCCAGCGCTGTTGGGACGACTTTCTTTCTTGTGCCATCCGCCGAGCCAAGGCGCGCAGACTGCCATCCTCGAACCCACCACTAATTGAAAAGCCCCTTTTTTGCATCATACGCACGAGAAGCTGTCGTAGTTCATCATCGCTGTAATCTGGGAGAGTCAACGGGACCGGCAGCTCCTGCAAAGCCTTTTCGCTTTTGTCGATAAAGTCGAGAAGAGCCTTTTCCCTGCAGGAGATAATCACAACAGATGTCTCCGCATCGCCAATGGCGTTATTCACGATGCCTGTGTTGGACAGCTATCAGAAGTGTCGTAGAAGATAACCTGCTCATTGTTAGTGTTGAGCGATGAAACCCATAGTTCTAACCTACCGCAGGATCTTTTTGCGAGTCTGGAGTAGACCGGCTGTCGGGTTCCTCGGAATAGTCATCGTCATCGCCATCGTCGTCAGTGTCGTCACGGTCACAATCTTCGTCATCGTCAAAGTGATGACGAGGTCCAGAAGTTTGACGATCTCTCGACGTTAAACGATATCGCGACGTCCTAGCAAATGTCTGTTCAGCCACAGCTCCGATGGAATAGAGGAACTGCGCGTAAAGCTGTGCAATGGACTTCTTGCCTTCCAGAGTGGGTCAGTTTTATGTTCAACCTCTTTGGTTCAAGAAAATGTACCTGTTCCATCATTCCCGTGGAGAACTAGATGAAGTCGCAACTTCTGATGCTCGTCGCCCGTTTGCTTGCTCGCCTTGACTATGGCCTTGACAGCAAGAAAATGGGCTTTCACATTTTCAAGACCAACCATAGTCATGAGTTGATCAAGATGTACGTTCTTTTCGTTTTCCTCTTGCTTCTGTCTTAGCCATTCTAGTCTCGATGGTGAATCGTCGTCAATGTCCTCTGCCTTCATGCCGCTGAAAGTAAATTCGGCCCATTGAGGCACATTTTCAGGCCATGTGGCGACATCTTCGGCTGTCTGCTGCTCCTGATCCGATATTCCTATCGTGACAACTTCAGGTGAAGAGCCTCAGGTGGAGCTCTCATCACTCTGAGATTCCTTATTGCTTTCTGACATTTCGATGCTGTTCTTTTGCTTTTCGTTGTTGGGCGTGGGCTTGAGTAAGGACAGAGAAGAAAACACTGAAGTGATAAAATCATATTGTTCATTAACTTATAAATTTTGAGCCAGACGCAAGGGTTTTCCAACCTGGAGAGCTAGTATGACTTGACTCACAACCCCGCTGGTTCGCCTGCAGAACTGAGGACATCAAGGCAACCAGCAGGAAAGACTTCCGTCGGAATCCCGACAGCCTAGAATTGGCATAGTACCTGCACAATAACCCAGGCTGATCAGTCTGACTGGTCTGAGCAGGCATCGCAGAAATGCTCACCACTATTGTGCAGCCTGACATGAATCCAAATTCCGACGCAATCCGACATGACAACGACAAGAGGTCTTTTCCAATTCTTAACGACATGGTCATATATGGAAGCACCAGAGACTGGACGTGTTTAGTGCCTGTTATCGGCCAGAGGTGACAGGTAGAATCAGCGCAGCTCTCCACTCCCATCGAAACTGAAATGACATATATGTCCTTTACCTTGATCACCGTCGACATGAAGTGTGCGATTGTCTCTGAATACCTCCAATATTAAATTATTCTTGGAGACAGCTGCGTTCTATTTTATACCTTGTTTGTCCTTCTCACCTTGAGGGTTCTGGTTTACCAAGATTAGGGATACCTCTATGGGAGGCGTTTTACTGCCAAGCTATTCTGGAAATTGCTTCAACAGACTTGTGGAATTGAATTTATCGGCTTTCAATAATAAGAGAAACCTTCTCTTCGTTCATCATTCTGGAGTATGTGTCTTGATCAAACTCAAACCCAAAGTGTTCAGGATGACCCTGCAACTTTCTCCGCTGGCTTCTGCGCATATATCACCCACCTCCTTGTCGTTAGCATCATGGATTCAGCAAACAAATCAAGCCTTTAGCTAGACAGATATGATGGGGAGAATGGGTCAAAGTGAACGAGGTAAAAAGTCAGACTTACATTGGGGTGTAATGGTGGATACTTCTGTCATTCATGTCTTTGCGCACTTCAGACAGAAGAGTCTGAACCTCTGCGTAGCTCCATTTAAGAGCCCTAGTAAACGCTGCGATAGTCCATGCCTCGAGGCCCTCCAAAGCATTAGCAAAAGCCCATTCTCCTAGCTCTTTATAATGCGGATCTTTGGCCCACGGACCGACCGGCCACTTGAACGGGACGATCTTCACATCGACAAAACCAGCCTCCTTGAGCATGGGTACGAGACTTGGGACGTGGACGAATGGGCGCCCAAGGATCTTGCAACATTCGTCGAGCTTGTCCGCCCACTGCCACATAGCATGCTCCGGTGTTAGTGATCCGTCGTCAGATTGGGTACGCGCGTGTCCTTCGAATAATTCCATGTAGCCACCGGGTGCGATGCCACTAGAGATAGCAGGTCAATCATAGAACCTGTTGAGCTATGTCAAAGGCACTAACTTGTAAACTTTCTCGAGAAATGCCGGCCAGTCTGAGATGCTAGATGTCATGCCACGAATATGGACGTAGTCAAAAGGTTCACCATACGCCCACGACTGCTCAATGTCGTCGACTTCGAATTTAACATTTGGTGGAACACTGATAACATGTGACCAGATGAAAATACAATCGATTTTGCACCGGAGTAAGGTCAACGCCTAGGACCTAGGTGTCATTAGCATCCAGTCCTTCTACACAGAAACCAACTTACTTCAGCCTCGGGGTGCTCATCGGCGAACTCAATTGCCCAAAGGCCAGTGCCAGTTCCAATGTCAAGGGCGCGCTTCACACCTGAGTCTTTCTCATTTGGGGGAGTAAGACCAAGCTTGTAATCCAAGGTTAAAAGATAGAGGTTATGTTGCAAATCTGGGTCATGGTTGAGAAAAATTACTGAGAATGTGAGGATACAACTTACCTAGTCTTTCATGCTCTCTCTCATCATTGGGGAAAAGATATTCTGATCCGTATTAGAAATTCCACTGCCACAGGGGGACAAAAGTCTGGGGAGCCTACTCCCGTCCTTGTATATGTGATAAGTTCTTCCGTTCTCCAGGCGATGTTGGAGAATGGAACTAGATAGGCTCGTACTCGATGATACCACAGACTGAGAAGCGTTAGCAGAGTCTTTTGATTATCCGATAACGCGGCATTAGGGGGCCTGTTTACAGGTGCTCTGTCCGAGGCATCGTCCTTTGCGACCTACGGCGCAGAGTCAGCGCTATGTTTAATGCTCGTCTATCCGGAATCCCTTACATTGTCGTTTCGAGGTTCAGCTTCGAGAGCGGGGCCAACAGGCGCAGGGCTCCCGGCATCCTTTGTGGTGGTCTGATTGTCGGCCATTGCGGAACGAAGTCATGAGAATGTAAACCGATCGAATATTGTGTAACCAGGCGAGGAACGCAGCCTATTTATATTTATGTCGGACAACGGAGGCCTACCCCTCTTCTTGGCTGATAAGTGACAGGGGGGAATTCGCTTGTTCGTCGCTGTTGGTCCCAACAACGAAAGGAGTTGTCGTGTCTGCAATAAAGTGGAACAAATTGGTGGCTGTTGGTGCAGCCATTCTGCCTAGGTGCCATTCGGACCAACGGATATACGGTTGAAAGTTGACGAAAAGCTGATGAGATAACAGAAGTTACGTAGCCTAAAAGCTCTTGCGATCTTCCATGTATCTAGCTACCTTCTATTGGTCGTCAAAGCTCAAGGTTTCAAGTTTTGAAGAGCACATCACATGTCATGGGGGAACGGGCCAAAGTGCATCTTACCAGAAATTTTTATATGGAACAATAATTAGTCAATAAGTTACGTGCCCACTCACACGTGGACCTTATGCTGCTGAAAGTCTGATCGAGCCTGGGATCATTGATGATTGAGGGCTAGCTGCAGTCCGCCCGTCGTCAAAGAAGTTGATATCGGTAATGAGAAAAGAAAGATTTCTGACGGGCTAAGTAAAGGCTCGGGAGTGAAACTCCCAGCCGCCTTATGTACTCTCTTTGCTTCGAGGATTGACCAGAAACTCTTGCAGGTAATTGATCCCGTCAAACCTTGCCGCCCCATGTCATATATCTGAAGTTAGATGCTCTTTCCCATCATGTCGACTCCGTCTCGCGAACTTTGATAACAACCGACATAGAAGCACTCGTCGGCAGAAACTCGAAGTTACGGATAAGCTAGGGTTGGTAATGTCAGGGCGCTATATGTCGAGTTGTTTTCCAGAATGATTAAAAAGACTCACAGTGACAAAGATCTTGTTCAGCTCTATCATGGCCACCGCCTTGCCCGCACACTGCCACCTGCCAGCACCAAAAACCAGCTCGGTTCGTTTTTTCCATTCTTTAACCGTGACCGCATCGGCTTCGAGCCATCTCTGGGGTCGAAATATGTGGGCGTCCTCTCCGAATAGCTGTGTATCGTGCGTCACTGACCACGTGTCGTGTGCAACTCTTGTACCTGGAGGCAAAAATGTACCCTCGTGCACATCACCTTCAGACCCGACCTGTTTCATGAGCAAGCCAGTGAATGGTGGGTGAACACGGAGGGACTCGTAAATGACTGCCTAAAAAGATCATTGTTAGCGCGAAGCCCAGGAACTTGATCGCAAATATCAGCTCGTCATGTGCGGCCTGGGTTTACCTGAAGAAAAGGGAGTTTCAGAGCCTCGGTGTTGGTGATGGGGTCAGAGATTCTTCCGTTTGAAATCGCTGTCATAACTTCCTCTTCAAGCCTTTTGAAAGTGGAAGGATTGCTCAGTAGATACTGCATTGTCCACTTGATGGCCTTTGCGGCTGTATCGGAACCAGCGACCATTGGAAACATGATTTCAGACTGCGCGGAGCGTTGGTCAAGCCCACGGCGAATGAAAGATCCCTATTCAATTTGTAAACGATCTACAATGAAATCCGATGTTTTATTAGATTGGCTTACAAGTAGGTCGGGCTCGTCCTTTGCATCCGGAGCGAAGCGTTTCACAACGTGCTGCTGGGCAAGTCTGTAGGCGACACCGGTTAACATGATAATGATCTCCCAAGCCGCAGGGTTGCGCCTTGGACTTCAACCATCTAGTTCACAGATAACCAGTTGACTTACCCCATAATCTTTCCGAAACCACTCGAATCCGTCGGCTTTGGGCCCAAGAGTCTCAGCACGAGATCCGACGTGAAGATCATCTGAAGCGCGGGAATGTCCGTGAAGAATTGCAGCACATCTATAGCGATATTCGACGTTCTGATAAGGCCAAAGACATCCGTGTCTTTCTGCAGAAGTCCGATAGGCCGACCAAACGACATCCTCGACCGCGCATCCATGGCGTAGTAGTCTGCAAGGCGGCCGAAATCGACAGACTCTGAATCCGAGGGCTTAGAGACCTGGTCCTTTTCGCCTGTTTCAGGAATGTTGGCAGCCTTTGACCTCGACGTGTACTTAAGGCGGATCAAATCGACCAGTTCCGCGATTCCCGAGTCAATACTGGCCTCTAGTCCTGGAATGTCCTTTCCCACGTAACCTGGAGAAAGTTTCGTCCTCAATGAGTGATGAGCAGACTTGTCAAGCACGCTACCCATCATATCGTGGTATGGGTCTAGCCGAGTCGCCTTGTACCAGCTGCTGCGCTCATAAGTGGACTTCGCTGCTGACATGCGCCTAATAAGCTCCGGATCGGACGTGATCACATCGTTAGGACCTATACGAACGAGCTTGCCATACTGTGCCGTGAGCCTGGCGTATTCAGAATACGCGCGGGAGCCATGACAGCGGATTCTGAACATCGGCCAGTACGAGAAAGAACATGGGAATGGGCCAGGTAGATGCCATAAGCGACTCCATGACCTCACGATGGCAATGAGGAAGTATGATACGATGGCAACATAGAACAGTCGGCTAGTGAATACCAAAGATGAGAAATGTGCCGTTGAAGATGTCAAAAACGTCATTTTTTTCGATATTGATGAGACTAGAATTGGGGATGTTAAAGGGAACCAAAACAGATGGGGTTGTGAGGAAGGGAGCAAGGCCTCTTTTTGAGGTCTTGCTAGGTGAAAAACGTGCGCGCAGATTGTAAGATGGGCTTGAAAATGAGCAAGCGCAACTGCCAGATCCCGATAACCAAAGCATTCCATGAAAGAAATCGCCCGATTTAACATCTCTTACGAGCTGCTGCAAGGGGCTAGGAAGACACTTACCGTCGTAACTTGTAAGAATGAGAATCCGCTGAATCCTTGTCAGCAAGGCTTTGGTTGGTGGACTTCGGGGAAGTAGTTCTGTTAGTAACAATTGGACCAATGCACACACAGTATGCAGGTGGTCAGCGGATTCTCATTCTGTCAAGTCGTGACGGTATTCTGGCGTATGCAGGGAGTCAACGAGAAATATTGGCACTAGGACATTTGGCGCCATTTTAATGATACACTTTTGGAAATACTTCGGTGATCTCGCTAACGCATTACAGTAGGTAATGGGGCAGACATGATGGAAGGCATGGGCGCTCTCCATGACGCTAGACCGAGATCTATGTCAGGCCATGTGGATTGTCGTAACCGCATCCATCTTTCACTGCCGTAATCCAGGGTCGAAGTAGGGGTTCTTTTGATAACATTCAATGTTAAAATTACCGATTTTAAGTTTCTACTGTGTGGGACTTGCCTCCCCGGCAACTGCGGGTTCGGGATCACGAACTGGGGACAGAAGAGTGTCGAGTCAGGACTCAGTGAACGAGAATCAATTTATTCGTATGCGCTCATGGCCAATCAACTAACCATTCAAATAATTCCATGTCCTGCTGATATTAATAGAGCGGTGAGTGAAAGACTCGTACGGGTCGAGGACAAATCCTAGGAACTCTCAACATACGGGTGCCACCGGTGTCGCCGGTGTAACCGATGCCACTTGTGCCATAAACTTGACGTTTTACAACATGTGTGTGAGCATCTGTCACTCTCTCAGTAAATTCATTCTTCAAACTTTCAAAACAACTTGCATAACCTCCGAACATCAGTAAACCAAACATGGTTGCCCCAGTGTCAGCATCACTTGATCTCAGCGTAGCCGATGGTCCGCCTCTCGATCTTTCAGGAGTTCCTGACGCCTGGGATGGCTTGCTTATGGCTATAAAAAGCCACCCAAACGAGTTGGCCTTGGTGTGTTCTCATCAGCCGCATGATCTGTTTGGCTTTTCTAGTCTTGGCCCTTCTGCCTCTGGAGACACAAGTCCCGAGAATGAATCTCAGTCGTATCTTCGCTGGACTTTTCAAACTCTTGCTCAAGCTATCCACAAGCTTGTGGTGGCCAAAAGGTCCATAGTCGCAGATGCTGATCTACTGGAAGAACTCGGCCCGGGAACCCCGGTGGTAACATTTCTCCAGAATGGTGCGGACTTTGTACTTGCGGCTTGGGCATCTGTTGCAACAGGCTGCACCTTGACCCCCTTGAATCCACTGTCACTCAAAAATCGCGATGAAGCAGCTCACATGCTCAGAACAGCTTTGAGTCTTGCCCCCGATGATCATGGCCTGAGGTTTATCTACGCTGCCAACTCAGATGGGGCCAGAGATATTGATGAGCTGGGTATTGACAACAACATTTTTGGACCCCACGTTGTCAAGATATTGGCTTCGGGGTCCAAAATGAGAGAAGGCTGGCTTCGCCTTGATGATTTGATGTTGTCTATCGATGGCAATGGCAGAAGTGATTTGTGCCACTCCAACCCAATTCTTGGCCTTGAAGGCAAGGATCATGCCCAGGCCGGCATCGTTCTCTTGTATGTTAACCCAAAACTGACAGTCGTCTCAAAACCTTGGCGGTGCTGATTTTTTGAGTAGCACAAGCGGTTCAACAAGCAGGCCCAAGGGCTTATTCTGCCACCACACGGTCTTGAACACTTACACGAATAGCCGACTCCTACTTTCACCGTCTCATATTCTCCCACAAATCGGCTCGAGAGTATGCAGTATTCTCCCGAATAACCATGGAAACGGCTGGTCCTGTATTCAAACTGCACACGGCCGCGGTGCGGCCCTGGTCTTCCCCGGCCCGGCGTTCTCGACCCCGGAAGCATTGCTATCTACCTTTCGCCAAGAACAGATCACGCACACGCTGTTGGTTCCGACTCTGATCCATGCTTTGGTTGCAGCTATGGAAAAGGATCAGCCCCCGCTTGGATCACTTATCAGCGTCACCTTTGGCGGAACGATTTTGACCAGGCAGGAAGTGCTCGCGACAACCAAAGTTCTCGGGGCTAAAGTTGTCGAAAACGCTTATGGTTGCACCGAAGGCGCGCTCACCAGCACCGGCAGTGTGTATATTTCTGGCGCAGGTCCCGACATTTATTTCTTTGGATCGGAAGAGATGTCTGTGGGAAAGCCGCCGATGGGCCATGGTATCAAAATCGTAGATCCTGCCACGGGCCGTATTGTTCCACGCAACGTCACAGGAGAGATCCACGGATATGGTCCTATGATATACCGTGAAGGAAGATGGGGATACATCCAGCATGAAGAACAGAAGGCATTTTACACTGAGGAAGAGACAGGCAGAGTGTGGTTTCAGACCGGAGACATGGGAAGAATGGACGAGAACGGGGATCTCTTCATCACCGGACGTTACAAGGATATGTATGTGCGGCTCTATGGACGTTCAACGTCTCGGATATCTTGCGTTAACTGACCGATGCTTTGCAGGATTATCCGCGGCGGTGAAAACATTTCGCCCGCCGCTATTGAGGCTGTTCTTATGAAGAACCCTACCTTTCGCCCTCTTAATCCACAAGTGTAAGTTATTGACTTCTGCGCATCTCTACTTCAGTCCTACTTGGTTGTCGCAGAAAGTGCTAACACGATGCGCTCTTCAGTGTCGGCATCAGGGACACCATCGCCGGAGAGGTTCCCGCTGTGGTGATCAAAGGTGATCAACAAGCTACTGCGGTCGAAAAGGCAGTTCGAAAAACCGTGCTCCAGAGTATGACCACGATGCATGTCCCGGATCTGGTTATCAATATCAAGGATCTCGACCTGGCAGACTTTCCCAGAACGACTTCGGGTAAGATCCAGAAGTTCAAGCTGAAGCAGGCTCTAGCAGCCCATCTTGACAGGCAGGCTACTTCCGGGGCAGCCAGCACATTGTCCGGGCTCAAACAGCATGACGAAGAGCAAGTCAAAGCCATTTGGACGACGGCCCTCGGGCTGGGCAATACGTCTCAGCTGGATATCAACATGCCTCTTGGGCAGCACATTGACAGCATCACCATGATGCGTGTCCGCGACAAAATCAGAAAGCAAACAGGTATAGCTCTTCCATTAGCAGCCATGGCTCAAGCATCGACTGTTGCGGAGCAGATTGAACTTCTGCGCAGCCTGTCAGCCGACCATAAAACAACGTCAACGATCAAGGACACAAATGTGGGGCATCTTGCCACACAGCAAAGAAGGATGGCAGCCGCCAATGACAGGATTGCAACACGAGAACCTCTTTCAATAGAAGAATTGGTGGATATCGCCCCCGATCCGACACTTTACGAATTCATCAAGGATAGGGTTCTGGAATCTATCTCGCCATGCGGCTTCGGGTGGGAAGATGTTGAGAACGTCTGCCCTGCGTATGACTCGAATGCTGTGCAGGCTCAGTGCGGTTTCTACGATACCATCAATTTCAACATGGCTATCAGTACCAAGCAGAAGACAACTAAAAAGGTATTTCATCACTATTCATTTCTCATATCTACATCTCAAGACACTAATAGAACATTTTTCTGCTTAGCAACTTCGCACTGCCGTAGAAGCGGCGTTGCTCAATCAACCCATCATGTGCTCGTTCATGGTCTGGGATGCAGACTGGCGCGGTGTCAATCCCAAGACAAAGGAAGCGTTCCACGTCATCATGCGCCCGTCGGCAAAGTATTTCGACTTGGCCATACAAGACGGCGGTGCCGTACGCTGCTTGAGAGATCTTGAGGAGATCGCACTCGGCAATACTGCTGAGGCTCATCGATTCCCAGCACCGCAACAGAACACGTTCCCCGGGCCGCTTTATCGAGTCATGCTCTTCGACGTAGAAGAGACCGGCACTGCGGCGATGGTGACATCCGCAAACCACTCTATCAGTGATCAATCTGCAGGACAGTTATTCCACGACGACCTCGACCGAGCCGTCGCTATGGCTGCTTCAGGCGGTTTGACTGCCGCCAGTATCCAAGCACAGCTACGAGAGTACAAGGACTACAAGCCCTATTTGGACTTATGTCACGCTTTGCGCACCTCTCCGAGGGCTATGGCGGCTGTAAATTGGCATGTCGATCGTCTTGCCTCTCTGCCAAACCATGTCGATGCTGGGGCATTGTGGCCAAGTCCGACCTTCTGGATGCAAGTCTCACTAGATGATCATTATGGAGAAAGCCATCAACTGCAGCACAGCTTCTCAATGCCAGCCCTGAAAGTAGACCCCACGGACTCCACGACAGTATCTACATCCACCATTGTCAAAGCCGCATTGGCCTTAGCAAGCGCGAGTCGGAGTGGCTACACGACGACGGAAGCCGCAACAGGGCGCAAATCGAGGGTGGCCGTATTCTCTAGCGTCGAAGCCGCGAGATTACACTACAACCCCTTTCTGCCGCAGTCCGTCACGTACACCGACATGCCACGCCGCGGAGAGGAGCACGATAGGTCTCTGCAGTGGGAGGCCGGCGACGTGGCAGGCCCTACAGTGCAAATAGTATGCAACGTGGTGGAGATGCCGAGATGTGGCAGCGAGCGGGAGACAGTTTCCGAATTCCTGCGTAGAATGCAGCGAGAGCAGGAGCTTCAAACCAGACACGCGTCCGCACCTTGGCGGGCTATCATGGACAAGCTCGAAGACCCTAACGCCGAGAACAGGCCCTGGCCGCTTCTGCCTCTGATTCATGGCTCACTTATGTTCAACTGGGCCCCTGGACTCGGTGAGAGCGCACCCCAGTCACGGTCTTCCACGGAGGATGCTAGGCTCTCCCACTTCGAAAATATGGACATGTTGAAGTCGGTGCAAAAGCCACGAGTCGGACTCGTGGTCTCTGCAGGCTCCAGTAGTCGTGGCTGTGGAGCAGCAGACGAAAGTGCTGTGACCACCGTGTTCTTGCATCTCAGGGGGGCCGGGCTCGAGTGGAGTTCTGGAGACGGTATGGCCTCTTTCGCCGGGGAGATAGAGGCAATGGCTCAATGGTTGTCGGCTGAGGAGAACCAGGGGCTCCTCATTCACAACGCACTCGGTCTTGAGTGAATTGTCGGGAGTCATCACCCATGTACACGATACTATCCACTTGAAGTTTTAGTTTTCAATTATCCATATTTGTGGGTCCTTGCAAGAATCATTTGAGCCAAACTTGCGAAGTTGTTCATGTCCCTCTCAAGTGAATCAATCCAGAAAAGCCTTGCCGGCCGGTACTCGATTCAGGTCTTTGAGGTACGAAGTCCCGACCACACACAAGAGGAAACATCTGGAGCACGCAACACGGACTCGTCAAGGGTCCACGCTGCTGGAAGGTATCACATGTTGAATTCCGGGGTTTGTCCCCTGGAAGCGGGTGGTTTGTTCATTAATGGTTGTAAAGGAGGAGGACCTAAGACTCGACGGAGATGATCGTGGGTACTTGGATTGTGATGTAATCTTTTCTATTCAGCTCTACGCAGCATGATGCGAATGCGTCCTTTCATTTTGATTGGTTTCTATGACCTGAGCCCCACCAACGAGGGACCGTCTTCCCTTCCATCGTGACAGTTACATTTATGATATTGAAGCAAATGGCTGTCTATGCTCTACCACGATTCTATCCGAAACTCTCTTCAGCTGACGCTCAGTCGTCCTCGACAATCAACTCCCTCTCGGGGTTAAGCGTGGGCGGGAATAGCTGGGGCACCTTGTTGACCCACATCTGCGACCCTGCTTGAGTGGCCTGCGCTTCGAAGGCTGCGCATCGAATGAGAGAATCGACTGCAGCAGGCGGGTTGTAGCTTTCCTCGTTGTACCTGTTCAAGGTATAGTCGTCGAACACAATGGTGCCTCCAACCTCGAGCATGCCCCAGGCGAGGACGGCGTCGTGCAAGACATCAAGAGCGACGTGAGATCCGTCGATGTAGATGAAGTCAAAACGAGCACCTTGGTGCTTGAGTGTTGGGAGGGCGTCTAGGCTGGACCGCTTGATGACGGTAAGCTTGTCGACATGACGGCATTTCCCGACGTTGGATCGGAAGCGCTTCTCCAAAGAGGGGATGTCGTAAGCATCGAACTCTTTGTATGTGTCATTCTGGAACTCCATGCTTCCACCGAAGGTATCGACGGCGGTAAATGTCGACTCCGGATGATCCATGAGGTTGTCGAGAATCCACGTAGCGGAACCGCCCTCGAAGGACCCAACTTCCAAAACTCTCAGCTTTTTCCCACGGAGAGAGCTGGTGCGCTGTTCCCAGTGCTCGATCGTCCTGTCGAACCATCGATGCTGAAAGTTGAATCTGCTGCGGTCCATCTGCTGAGTAGCAGTGATAGTTGTGGTCGACATGTTGACGAGTTTGTTTGTCCTGAAAGAGAAAGGAGTATGGTATGCGTGACAGGGTCTGCTTTGAAAGAGACTGACAATTTGGACAGAAGGACTGAAGCGTGACGGACTGGTCTCAGATGCAGTGGCTTCATCGTCAAAGGTTGCTTAATATATCGAAAATCGCCCATCGCTTTCAAATGGAACCCTGCCACCGCTTGTAAGCTACCCTCTGGATGTTCCGCCAAATCAAGGGTCCAACGATTCGTATCTTCGACGTATCTTGTATTCATATATTTAGAGTTTAGTGTTCTCCACCGCGGCTTCAAGTGCCGACACACCCTAGACTACTCCATAGATGCAGCTGTTAGAACTGAATCATACGTAGCTCCCTGGAGACTTTGGTCGGGTATTATTCATCCGTGGCACTGGGACGACATGCCTCGGACTCCTGTAGTGCTGTGTTCAGAAACTCAAAACAGTATATCGTATCAACTTATCGAGGTCAGAATCCGCTCCCCCCTATCCACCGGGGATGGATTGGTCAAACTGTTACTAACAGAACTACTTCCCAAAGCTGGCCTATCAAAGCCTTTTATACAAGGGGTGAGCGGATTCTGAGGTGAGAAAGTTGATACGGTTCATTGATTGGAGGAAAAGATTGAACACAGGATCCTTCGGGGTCTCCGGTACAAAGTATGTAAGATCAGACTTCCGCAACATCAACAGCAACAGTCGAAGCTCTCCCTGTTCTCTCAAGTACACCTTAGGGGCGTTGCGGTGTCACGAGATGCAGCTTAAGGAAAGTGGCCAAAAACGACACCGAATTCCCATGCTCAATATTTTCATGACTCGTTCACTCACCGCCTATTTCTTGAACGGTGACGCAGAAACTTTACTTAATTGCGCCTTCAGGTTACGTCCGCGGGCCGCATATAGTTTCGACACCTTGCGGACAGCTCGGAATAGCATCTCAGCTCAGTCTCACAGTACGGCCTTTGTGGCTGCCTACACGGCCTGGTCTTCGTTGTGGAGATCTATGGAGATTAAAGACAGCGATTTCCGCTCGAGTTCCTGTTGGTGAGAGTTAACATGCACTATTGAAGTGACAGACGTTGACATGACTGAATCATTGACAGTGACGCCCGCCATGGAGGGGCTCCGGCACCGTCTATCATGTCTGATCCCGACGTTTCTCAAATGCATCAATTACACCCAACCTGCGAAATCGAGTAAAGACGCCCTCCGAGAGGCCATTATCTCAAGAGGTCGTGAGGCAGGCGTGCATGTCAATTCGGACGATGGTTCGAGAATGAGATTCGAGGCCGGCCTGGCTGTAGCTGCGGTATGTTGATCCCCAAGTTGCATTTATACAACTGAGGAACCTGTTCAAGCTAACGTTCTGCACAGGAGATGTATCCCCTTCATCCTTTCGATATCCAGGTTCACATTGGCCTTTTCACCTGGCTTGGGTTCATCATTGATGACCTCAACGCCGAGCTGGGCCCAAACTTGGCAAACTTTCAGTCACGATTCTCACGGGGGGATCTACAACCCTGCAGCGTCCTAGAGTGCTTTGCCGACGTCCTGAGGTCCACGACCGACTACTATGATCCCGTTGTCGCTAATCTGATCGTGCTCTCCGCGCTGGCTTTTGTCAACTCCAACGCCATCGAGATTCGCCGAGACTACCAGGCCATTGTCCCGTCGATGGAGGCTCCCAGCTGGCCGTACTATTTCCGGGACAAAGAGGGTCTGCCTGAAGTTTACACGTACTTCTGCTTCTACAGAGACATGTGTCCTGACATATCGCGCTTCATGCCGGCGGCGCCAGAGATGGGGAAGTTCATCAACTTAACAAACGACATTTTGTCGTAAGTGAAATCACTATCAAGCATTGCGGCAGGTACTGACCGATATCAAACAGATTCTATAAGGAAGAGAAGGCCGGAGAGGTCAGGAATTACATACACAAGAGCGCACTCTGTTCCGGTCGTAGTCCTCTTGAAGTACTAGAATCAACGATTGCGGAAAGTGCGCTTGCTTACAGCCGAACTGAAGCTATTTTGAGGGATAGTCATCCGTATGATGAATTATGGCATGCCTATGCAATGGGATATATAGCGATGCACTTCAATACCCGTCGATACTACCTTTCAGAAATAACATTATAGAGATGATTTCTCTCTTTATCATTTGACGTTGCTTCCCTTTCCCAAGTAAAAGGTGGGTACATGCCAAATATGCGTTCAGCATGATGAGGAGATTCGGAGCTAGGTTAAGCTTAAATCCACACATCGGTATCAAGCTTATCGATAGCCCTACAGAACTATGAAAGTTTCAAATGCATTGTCGTTGGCCCTCGTAATCCCTGAAATGAACGATAACTCTCCATCTCTTCACTAGCAATTCAGTCCATCCAGTCTTTCATTGCAGCCAAGATGACCAGAGTCCTGCCTACTGGTGGAAGTGGCTTCATCGCCACTCGAACCCAGCCATCGACGTGACGACGGGTATACTTCGTGCGATCAAGAACGGCGCTCTATCCGTGAAGCGAGTGGTTATCATGTCGTCTTTTGGTTCATGATGGATATCTCCAAGGGCTTGTGGCCCGACCACACCTACAAGGAGAAGGACTGGAACCCCATCACGCTCGAGGAAGCCTTAGAGAACCCGGGGTTCGGTTATTCTAGTACGGGATCAGTCCACCTCTAGCAACCAACGCTTTTCCAAACTCGACTAACATTTTTCTGGTACCGCAACAGCAAGCAAGACCTTCGCTGAGAAGGCCGTCTGGAGTTTTGTAGAGAACGAGTCTCCAGGCTTCACCCTATCGACCATCAACCCTCCGCTCGTGTTTGGCCCGGCCGTGCAGGAGCTGGCTTCGTTTGACGCGCTCAACACCTCGAATCAGTTTATCAGAAGCTTCATCCTTGGTTCCGCGAAGAAAGAGATTGCTCCTACAACGGTAAGTAAACTTGTCCCTCTTCAAGCCATCCGACAGCAAAAGCTGTCAGCGTTCACGAATATGAAGCTGACCGGAACGACTTGGCACGCAGAACCCCATTTTCGCAGACGTTCGCGACGTAGCTTTCGCTCACGTCATGGCCGTGGAGAAGGAACAGGCAGCAAACCAGCGCTTCTTCATCACCGGCGGCTACTGTTCCAACCGCCAGATCATCGACATCATCCGCAAGAACTTCCCGGAGTACAAGTCTGCACTCCCTTCTAAGTGCACCAAGGGTGGCGGTTAGTTTCTCTTGCTGTTATGGAACGTCAAAGAACTTCAAGGACTGACAACAGAGACGCAGAACTGCCGGACAAGGTGTACAAGGTGAACAACCAAAGAAGCATCGATGTTCTAGGAATAAAGTACAGGAGCTTCGAGGAATGCGTGGTGGACACTGTTCGGTCGTTTGGTTCCGTCCAGAAATTGGTTTGATAGGCATAGTGCGTGGGGACTTGGTGAACACTTGAAAAGCGCAATCGTTGTAATATGCGGTGGTATCGACATGTACAACAGAGAATGTGGTAAGGATTGATATATCACCTGTTATTTGAGTGATGTCTTCAAACGCAATGAAGTATGGCACACACATCAAGGCCTTGCATACATCTCCCAAGGACGACTGTCACTGAATCAGCCAATCGTCGCAAATCGTAAGAGGACAACCAAGGCTTCGCTTCCTCTCGTATGCACAACTGATACCAAATTGGGGTGCAGCATTGTTATTTGAGACTCGAGGACTGCAATTATTCCCTTGTGGATTCCAAGTCCAATACGCCATGCGGATGGCTACGTGGGGAAGATGTTGTTATATAAGATCACGATTTAAAATTAAACAGCTGCTTATGAATATAATAGCGACGGTGATACAGCCGGCGTATTGATCACTCGCTCCATACCGCCACCATTTTGTGTATGGTTGAAACGTTCATTGAGTTTAACAGTGTTCTCATTGAGTGCTTGCATGCGCCAAGCAATGAATAGTGGCTAAGATACAGTGACATAACTCGTCCATATAACTCCTGCCCCTGCTCCAACTATTGGAATGAAAAACCATTGAAGTCGCTCGCTTTACATGTTGTCAAGACGCTCCTTGGCGGACTGCTTAGCCTCGTCAGAGACGTTGGGGTTCTTGAGGGTGCTGTTGGGGTAATAATCAGCAAATGCTCTCGGACACGGTAGGAGGTGGGAAAGGACTTACGCCTTGAGACCACCAGCAACGTTGCCAGGGTTCTTGTCCTCGTTGTCGCCAGACTTGGGGACGTCACCACCGTTGAACTCGTTCTCGAGGACGGCCTTGGAGTTCTTCTTGCTCTCCTCGGAGGTGTTGGGGTTGTTGATGTTGGCCTTGTGGCCGCCGGCGATCTGAGCTTCGGTAGGCATGTTGGTAGTTTGGTGGTGTTGATTGAAAGTTTAAAAAGTGTTTGTTGGGCTGTGAAGCTTGATGGTTGTGAATGCTGAAGTTGTTTGTTGTGTGATGATGAGAAGAAGACTGTAGATGGGGTTGCAGGAATGATCCCTTCTTATACAACTTCGCTGACGGCTATCCCAACGTGTTGACATACGGAGCTTGGGTGATGTGCTTCTGGAAAGACAAAGCTCAGCTCAGCTGTGTCAGAGCCAAAGCCACCAACCCCTCAGCAAGCTCACATTACAGCTAGTAACAGCACATGGGGAAAGGGCTGGGAGGAGGAATTCGATGTAATGATGGCATCATTGACTCTAAACGCCGCGTCTAACCTGCGTCTCTCGCATGAGATGCTCGTCACAAACGGGCTGGAGAGCGTGGGCCGGCCGGCATCCAGCCGCAGCTACCGGGCCAACGCCCGAGCGGGGGAAGGAATACTGCCAAGAATTCATGATACCGCTTCTCTTTGGCATCTTTCTCGATGATCGGCTGTCTCCCAGGATGTCCTTTGTGAAGTCATGACGTGTCACGCAGGTACAGCCAACGCCCCGAGCTTTTCGTCTTCCAGATCGAGATGATGGGAAAAGTCGGTGCGTACTTCGCCCGCCTTCCTACTTCCAATGGCTCATGAATCGTTTCTTATTCCTGCAAAAGCTACGCGGGGTCGCCATATGGGAGACTCAAAGCGTTGGGTGACGGCGCAAGCGTGCCTGGCAGGCAGCTCTCCGCAAGGGGCAAGGACCGGCGCAAGGAGAACGAACGAGATGTGGGGTTTAGGGGCCGATTAGGCGAAAGCTTTTTGAGAAAGCTACGGCGACCCGAGCTGTCGGCGTGCTTGATGGTTAAGGTGGTGGGAAGTCTCAGTTAGGGACACCGCTTGGCCAGCCCTACAATCTCTTAGGATGCGGTTCCTGTCACGGTAACGGGAGTGCACACGCGCGCTAGGCTGGTCCAAGGGGACTTCGGACTCGCGCCAACCGTCCGTGGCATATCCCGATCGATCGACCGATGAGGTCGGCGAAGGAGGACGAGGAGGGGCAGGAGACAAGGCTCCGGGACCAATTAGCCATCCGTGGTACGATGGGAAAGGGAAGGCTTGTGCGGACTGGAAACGCGATGCGGTGCTACTGATGCATTGGATCGAGCCGATATGCCAGATGCTGTTTCCGGGAGGGGGGGCTAGAAGATCTAGCTTTGAGAATGGACAGGGCGCGAGGCGTCTGGGCGGACTTTGGCTCATGTTGCTGTCTGTGTTTTGAAAAGGTATGCGATTGCGTCGATTTGTGGCCGTCATTGTTGGCTGTGATCTGCGGAATAAGAAAGGAAAAGTTCATGCTTCACGTAGGGTGCCTGGAGCAAAAGCTCCTGGGTGAAGGACTAGCTCGATAGGCTCTAATTCCATGGGAAACCACAACGCAGCAGATGCTAATTGAACAACTCGAGGATTCGATACCACTTGATTGATCGGAGAATTGTGCAATGCCCACGTTGTGCCATTGCCCTCAATGGCAAACACAATACCGACAAAACCTATTCACGATATGTGTAGAGAAGTCCAACAACATGGGACGACTTGCCCCTGCACCAGCCAGCTGACCTGCAAGCACAAACCATCAATCATCAAACGCCATCAGCCCCGCGGCCCGCGACATGGCTAAATCCAGTCTCAGATCGAAATCTCTGATGGGAATCTGAAAGAGAGTGTGACGCACGGGCGATCCCTGGGACAGCCGCCATGCCCAAATCATACGGCAATGACATGATGAGTATTGCGGGGTAGAATTGCACAACGAGCTGGACAACGATGACAAGGACGGTGAATGGTGCCGGGGGCTACGCAGATGCAACATGCTTACGCGCGGTGCATTGAGTTTCGCAACAATCCCATGTTGTGCTGCTGTGACGGCGGGCGGCCCGGGAGACGGACATGTCGTCGATGCGGCTCATGCCGGTCGTGGGTTTGGCGGCCCCACTAGCTCGCAGCGACTGATGATTCATCGTAGACCTCAAAGGAAGTCATGATGTCAACGACAGGCCAGCGTCTGGGGTAACGGGGCACAGACATTTGTTGCGGCTGTCTAGAGCACGCTCTGGGAATAGGGAGAATGTGAAAGTTGCTTTGGGAAAGGATCATCAGGGGAGGCTGAGATGCGGGATGGGGGAGGGCGGGAAGGGTAGATATTGAGAAGCCCATCCCCTCTCTTGCCATCATGTCGACCGACAACACTTCCCATCCTCCTTCGGACCAACACTTCTTTAGATCTTCTGCCCGGTCCTTTCCCATCCCCACCCAATTGGTTTTCGACGCGGTATAGAGATGCACTAGCGTCTTCGGCCAGCCAGCCTGGTCGACGGACGACATGGGTTCGGGTTGCTTCAGCACCAATCACTCTGCTGCCGGTGTGCGTAGCAATATGTATCGAGGGTCGATACGAGACTCACATCAACCTCCGAACGACACTGCAACCTCACCGCCGGGTCGGAGGACCTAATCGTAGGTAGCCGTTCGCCCATGTCATGATGCAGCTCCAATGTCGTACGATCTGTTGCGAGCCGGTTAGTCATTGGAGACCGCCAAATGATCTGAGATGAGGTGCCACCAGCCGCAGCCGCACAATCCAAGGCCCTGTAAAGCCAAGCAGCCCGTCCATCAGTGGACATATGTTGTGCTGTGAACTTGCGCCAAGAAGCGTGAGAGTCCAGACCGGAAAAGCAATGCAGAGTTCTGCCGTGATGGTGTGCTTGTCATGTCACCGCTTGGTGACTCCCACCGGCGTCTGGTGATATCATGCTAGACACAAACACATAGAGGCGGACTTTAATTCTCACGGGCCCCGTCAGCCGCGAGACGCCATCACTCGCAAGCGGCGCCTGTTTCGTCTCGTGCCCATGCTGTTCTGCTATTGGTCGATTTGCGATGACTTATCATGCAAGCCACACGTGCGCGCATCCAGCTCGTGCTTCAAACCCACGCTTGTCGTCTCGCTAATGCAGTCGACATTAACCCGCCGGTGTCCGTCACGCGAGCTGGCAAAAGTCGTTTGATCAGTAGTATGCGGATATCATTGAAAAGATTGATAGCGAGAGGCCTCTTCACCCCATTTCGGAAAGAAACCAAACGCAAGCTTCAGGTGATCCGCGATAGGGCCAGAAAAAAAAAACCGTTCAATAGTTTGATAACCTGCCCCCGCGCTAAAGATGACGGCATCACCATCGGTGAAAAAAAAAAGCCCATCCGCTCGGCTACCGTCGCGGAGCGGATCCCACAGCCAATCAGACCCCCCGCTGCGCCTGTCAGGGACCACAAGCCTCAACACAGCCACGCGGCCAGTGGGGCTGTCGAACTGTACCGCACGGCGGGGACCCTCCGCCTCCACCGGGCCCCCGTCGCGCGCAAAGCCTCCACACCATCTCATCCGCGCTTCCGACTTCACTCCATCACGAACACCATCCCGGGACCTCGGACTTGAAAGGAAAACTCACTCATCAATTCTCACAAACCCTTCCCGAGGCAGCCTCACCCACAGCTCTTCAGCTCGTGCAACCCTACCACTCCCCCAAACCCCCGGTCATAAGGCTGGACTCTACTGGGCTGGCTAAGCTGAACCTCCCCCAGCAACCCCCCCTGAAAGCAAGAAGGAAGCAAAAGCAGAAACTCAAAGAACCATGACATCACCAGACCCCGACCAACAACAGCCCGCGGCCATCAACTACGTCGCGGGGTTCCTCCTCGTCGGCCTCGCGTGGGGCTTCACCACCCCCTTCATCCGCCGCGCCGCCAAGGACCACCACCCCGCGCCGCACCCGATCCTCGAGAGCGACGCCGTGAAGGCCAGCTGGCTCCGCAGCCGCCTCTACGGCGCCTTCTTCGGCGTCCTCGACCTGCTGCGCAACCCGCGCTACGCCGCCCCGCTGCTCATCAACATCACCGGCAGCGTGTGGTTCTTCCTGCTCATCGGACAGGCTGGTAAGTGTTCTTCACCTGCCTCTTCGTCTCCTTCCGAAAGAGAAAGAGTGTGTGAAAATGCTGACGCGCGAGGAAAACACTAGAATTGAGCTTGACCGTCCCCATCGTCAACACCCTAGCCTTCCTCTTCACCGTGATTGGCGAGTGGTGGGTTGAGAAGAAAGTCATCAGTCGAGGTGAGTCGTTCGTTCGCTCCTTCCTACCCACACCCAAAAGGCAGTTCGTCTCCAGCGCGTGTGGATTGGTTGCGCACAATGCTGAAACAAGTCTTTTTTATCCGCACCACAGATACAATGCTAGGAATGGTACTCTCCCTTTCCGGGATAGCGTTGTGTGTCCACAGTAAGACCAGGTAGAGATAGTGACAGATTTCACCATCCCCAGATATCGTGTTCGCTTGGTGCGCTGGTCCTGGTTTGGTCAAGCGTCGTGCTGTTGGTCTTCAGGCCCCAGAGGGTGTGAGGGAAACAGAGGATGGCCCGCACCTGCGGGACCCCGGCACCCCAGATGCACGTACGCACGTGTCTCTCCTTGAGGATCGTTGCCGCGTGCCTCGTGTCTCGGGCATCTGCGCTGCGGAATGTCGGGCAGGTCTCTGGTGGATTTTGGGGGCCGCGCATCATGCCAAACAATGCCGAGCTTGTATAGATCCAAAAATGAATGTTTGATACTGAAGATTTGGAACCCGAAACGGGGAGCGAAACATCCGCTAAATGTCTTGATTGTCTTTTTTGCGCCTGGCAAAATGCGTGTGTCTTAAATTGATTCTCTTCTAAATATTCTGCCAATTCTTCTCCTGCACGTGTCTCGCCCGCAATGTCTCTGGGGTTCCGCGGTACTGCCCTAGACCCCTTTCGTGCCGCAAGCGCAATACCAGTCGCGTTGTCTTGAAGAGAATGTCTAGTGATATCTTGATGAAATGGAAAAAGAGATGAAATTCTTTTGAGATAGGACCAAGGAAACCCATTATCGCTCTTCCCGTGTATTATGTTTGGTATCCTCCATGCGCCGTTTATACAAAATTAGAAACCCCCGGATGCCAGCTAGAGAGGAAGGCGTCTCATGACCTCATCAAACATCCATCTTCATCATTTTCGCAACAACACGTGGGGTTTAGTTGACATCCGCGATATGCATGCCTTACGGTCGTCGCGCGCGAAGCCAGCGCTGCACGCTCCGAAGGCTAGGGTCCTCAGCCGTCCAGCGGCCCATCGTGCGGTCCGACATCTGCAGCTCGTTGTATATGGTTTCATCGGTAATCGCAGAGAGTTCCTGTATAAACCAGTCCGTGTTAGTTTCACATTCCTCGCCTGGGACTGGTAACAACCGTCCCCCGTGATATCAATCTCCCCAGAAACAGCGGGCAAGGTGGAAAGCAAACAACATCACGTACAACTCTCAGCTGCTGGTCGCATGCCCGAAGGTGTGACTGGTTCCTGTTGGTCGGTCTGCCGCCTTGGAGGATGCCGTCCCGGTTGTTCACCCACCGCTGCGCAGCAGCCTGGCGGAGGTAGATCTTTTGGCATTCGTGCCGTCTGGCGAACGAGTCAAGGAGGCATCTGTGGAGTCCCAGGGTCAGTACTTGAGGCGCGCATGTCGCGATCGATGGGCACCAGCGACTAACTGCTTCAACTCCGCCTTCTCCTGCTCAAGCGGCCCGCCGCTTGCCTGCGGAACACTGGTGTCGGCGGCGCAGTTGAGGACGTGCTGCCCGTCAAGAGAGCACTGGCGCAAAGCTGCCCACCCCTCGGTGTAATAGTCCTCCATATTGGGAGGATCCGTAGGCGCCGCAGCGATGTAGTACTGGAGAGTCCGAAAGTCGGAGAGGACCTCGGCGACTCGTATAGTCCGGTATTCGTTGACTGGGAGCAGGTCAGAGATACAGTAATGGAATCGTCCGGCGCAAGGAGGCGGGCCTCCAAACGTCTTTGATGGTGGACTTACACCCGTCCATAGCAGCGAATTGCGCGAGCAATCGTAGGTTTTAGTGATTAAAAGTAGTTTGAGAAGAGTCAAAGTGATCCGGTATAATAGAAGGGTCGTAAGAGAAAGGCGCCGGTGAGGTGAACGAGAGACTGTTGTAGATGAAGTTGCTGCTTGACGCCGTGTCATTCAAGACGGATCAAACGCCACGCCGCTCGGCTTTTGTACATTCTCGACGGCCTCCCACGGAAGACAAACAAGAAAGGAAGGGAAGGAAGAGGAAGAATGAATCACGAAAATTGCAGATTGGAAGATGAGAGTCAACGAGACCCAAGGCAGGCATGCTCCGTCACGAAACCGCAATCTCAAGCTTTTGCCCGGCCTACCAGGGAATAGGGTAGGGTAGGGTATGATAGCTGGCAGCCCGCAACGGCAGCAGCAGCAGTAGCCTTCTCTGTCTTTGGGGGGAGTGAAAGTCCCGAACGGCGGAGGAGCCCCATAGGGCATGCATGAGCTCATTCGACATGCTTGGCCAATCGTGGTTCATGTCCTTCGTCTGAAGACACCTTGGCCCCCGGTTCGCTGATAGTCCCGGCCGACGAATCGGAGAAAAAAGAAGGGCGGCGACGGGGACCTGGCAGTTGGGATGGCGTTGTGAGCTCAAAGCTAGACTGACCCCAGCCGAGCTGGTGGCGCGCGTGGCCGCCCCTGGTTCCCGGCGCGAGGAGGAGGTAGGTGGGCGGTGGTGGTGGGTGTCGTAGGTAAGAGAGACACACATTTTGCTGTGGGATGCTAATTATGTGGTTGACTGGGGTTGACCGTTCTTCTCTTCGGGAGGCCTGGCGATGATGATGCAACTCGCGTGCTCGATGCCTGCAGGGCTTCGATGGTCTGGGCTGCTTGGGGGCTGCCGGCTGTCGCCTGCAGGGCTGTCATATTGATTGATGTGCTGTAGGGGTCAGGGCCACATCAAGCCAAGGGGTTGAGAAGGCCCGGATTGGACCTCAGTCGCTCGACAGATGCCCTTGAGGCTGCGCGGGATGTGAGACCCAGCCCGAGAACGAGGGTGTGGGTTGTGAGTCGTTCGTTGAGTAGTCGAGTGCGTGTGGTAAGGCAACGCTCGTTCGCGATGGTGGGCATAGAGCAGAACTGTGAACCATCTCAGAGACACAGAAGACCGACCCAAAGGTGGACTACTGTAAGGTATTTTGCCCTGCTAGCCGTGATGGGTATGGTCCTGGGTGTGGACATTGGACCAGGGACCGGGGGAGAAAAGATGGGATGACGCAGACAGCAGAAGGAGAAGAAGAAGTCTCTGATAGGCAAAGTTCGGCTGGCCGGTCGGTCTGAGGTCGGTCTGGCCCAAGCAGGCAGTCCGCCCAGGCCAGAGTGCGAGCCCGCGGTGACGGTCCCACGGTATTCTTCGTAGGTCGGTGGTCTCGCAGTGTGAAATGTCCACGTCGTTTTCCCTAGGGCTGGCAGCAGGGATGAAGAATAAGGTAAGGTCGGTGGATCTTCAGCTGACTCCACACCACTCTTGGCGGCCGGATCGGGAAACGGGCTGGAGACAGTGACAGGGCTCTGGCAGGCTCTTCCAGGCTCTGGCAGGCCCTCGGGCTACAGGTGCTGTGGCTTCACCGCGCCTGTGGCCAATGAGCACCGTTATCCTAGACGTCTGCCCACGTTTGGCACGTTTTATTCCAGCTGAACGCACCGCCGCTCCATCCGTTAAAAACTGCCACCTGCATTGGACCGAGCGAGCCATGCCTATCTCGCTCGCTCGCTCCCTTGTCCTTACCACTTTCTCTCCATGCACTGTCCAAATCCTCAACGACAACCACCCATTCCCTAGCAATAAGTAGCCGCAAGACGCCGGCTGCATGGGCTCTGTCCCGTTGCGTCCTAGCAGAAGGCAGACTCGAGAATTTCTCCCGGTGGGGATTCGATTGCTGTGAAGCAGACTGGACGGAGCGTCTCGAAGGGCTGACCCATCCAGCTCATGTCTTGGACGCCATTCCCGTGCTTCATTCGCTCCCACACCCGTGGGCTCGTGTTTGAAGTGCAATGCACGAACCTAGCACCGCGATGGTCAAACCCTAGTCCCCAACAGTGGGGGCCGACAGCGAGGATAGGGACCTTAGCTATTCACAGTAAGGCCGCCCTCAAATGTTCGCGTGTCAGGACTCGCCGTGAGAGCCGTGTCAGTTCAGCCTTCCTGTGGCCGCGGTGGCTTGAACTCCACATGCCCGCTGCCCGTTGCTTGCTTTTCTTGCTCCAAGATACCACGACCGTAATGCCAGTCGTCGCCCTGTGGAAAAACGTCTCACCAGTCGTCTCACTTACTCGGCGAAACTCTGCGCCCGTGATCCGGGGGAGCTCCCAAAAGATGCCTACCGATGTGAATGCCTTCAACCCACGGAAACAGCCCCGTGTCTGCTGTCTCGAATCTCCCTAACATTCGGCATCCGAGACACCAACCGTCAACTCATCTCTCCGCTGCCTTCTGTAAAGCCACAGACGTGCTTCTTCTCATACCTGCCGTCCCTCAGCATTCAGCCAGGCCGCATAGGGCTAATCGGCCGGACAATGCTTGAATCTCATTGGATTGATCATGGCAACGTCTTTTGCATGTCTTGATCTATATCAAATTGTAGGCTGGCTAGTAGTACAATCGTGTGCGGGGGGTCTGGCTTCGTGAGACTACCAGCTCGACTCTCGTCTACACATCCCGCGGCGGCCAGGCGCGATCTGGTCTGTTGGCGGAATCGACGTCGCCAGCGGACTTCTTCATCGGACGCACCGACCCTATCCAGCTTCCACTAGCCGGGTCTCGTCTCTTCCACCTTAGTCCTTCTCCGCGATCGCTTGTAACCGCTCATCGATCTCGTCCTCGGTCAGCGTACGGAAACCGGGGTCGGTTCCCTCCTGGCCGTCTGCACGGGGGCCTCCCACAATACCGATCTCGATCTCGCCCTTCTTGAAGTCCATGCTGAGGACGGTGCTGAGCGTCGTAATGGCAAGCTCAGTAACCTCCCTCCAGTCACCGGGGGCGTGGTCCTTGTTGCGCAGCTTCTTCTCAAGGTGGTTGAGGGCCTCCTGCTGCTTGGGGCCGGCGGCGGTGCCCTTGTAGCCAATGTAGTATCCGGCAGGATCGCACTTGAACAGCTGAGGTCCAAACTCCGAGTCCAATGAGATCAGTGTCGTCGCAACGCCGTACGGGCGCATGTAGGCCTTTATCACTTGTCAGTTCCACACTCCTGCCATTTGCTTTTCAGCCGTCCTTACTCTTTGTGTGTAGACCTGGCTGATGTTGGCCAGTCTCTTGGCGAGAGCATCGGCGGGCATCTCGTAGCCGTACTTGTAGCGGAACTCGGCCGCCTCACCCTGGGCACGCTGGGAGAAGGCACGGGCATCGGCAATAGAACCGGTCATCACGCAGCCGACGGATGGGGAGATCTGGAAGATGTGGGAGACGGAGGCGGGGTCGATGAGCTTATCCTGTTCATTGGGTCAGTCCCTCGCCCGACAGCTGCACCCCCGCTGACGGTCTCAACGTACAGGAACCTTCTTCTGAGACAGGACAACGGCGCAGTCCTTGCCCCTAACACCTATCGACATGATGTTGGCAGCTGTGATGGCCTTGAAGGCATATTCTGTTCGCAATCGTCTTGTCAGTTGGGCGGTTCGAGGCCGTGGTTGGAGGCCCCGCTCGATGGCATCACCGCAGGGAGGGGCAATCGATCGGGCTGCGGGCGGAGGACGAATACATACCGACTTGGTACAATCTTCCCTGCTCGGAGAAGATTGTGATGTGTCGGTCGTAAGCTGAGCCACCTGGGGTAAGAAGCCTCGTTAGCTGTGATTGACGACCGAAGGGCTGAGGTCACCGGGGTAGCGGTGGCCGTCCCAGTACGCACCCGACATCTTGGCGGTGTTTCTAGGTCAACGTAGGTCGAATTGCGTTCAGTAAGATCGTGCTCGACGGTGGTGAGCTGTGGCAGGTCGGTGGTGGGGTGAAGGTGGACGAAATGGCGGTTCGACGTTGGTGGTTGAGCTCTGACGAAGCTCTTGGGATATCGACGCGTTTGCAGCAGCTTGCCTAGAGCAGACGAGGCAACGTACCGGGAAGCTCCAGTGGGAAGGCTGAGTGGATGCCTTGGATTGGTCCAAGCAACTGCCTCTAGAGCCTGAGGCAACAAGCAGACGACGCAACGCTTACATAAGTAAGAGACCTGGTACGTGCACACTGAAAAGCTGCAGTGCAGGGATACAGCGGGGCACCCCTGGCACTGCGGGAACGACAACGCATCCTGCTGCCAAAAAAATGGCAGGGCAGCCTCCAAAGGAAAAAAAAAATATCGAGGGACCATTCCCGACTTTCACCCTCCAGTCTCGAGCACCACACGTCGCACCCAATCGGACTGCCGCACACGAGGCCATCGCATTCCAATCTAATAGGCCAAGCACACGTGGAGAGCATTGAAGCGGCCCAATTCTGCATTTTCTGTACCCTCTTCAGACCCAGCAGGCGCAACCGCAGACACCAAATTGCGATCCAGCGATCCTCTCCCCTCCCTCCCTCGCCTTCCGGGACGCAGAAAAAAAAAACGAAGAGGGTGTGCCCGCTGCTGCCCGTCATGTCCGCAAAGGTACCGGCCTGGAAACGATTGGGCCTCAAGCTCAAGTCCGGCCCAGAGATTGGCGGCCCTGCTGCCGAGGGATCGAAGCCCAACGGTCACCAGCAACACCACGACGCCCGGAACGCCAACGGCGCGGCGGACGCCGCCAGCGCCGCCGCCAAAAGGAAACGTCCCGAGCACTCGTCCGTTCCCCCTGCGTTCAGCTCCCCCCTCAAAAGGACCCGCACCGACGACCATCACCATGCTGCTGCCACTCCCCCGACCCTGAGGAAGCAGAAGTCCGTCACTTTCACCGAAGACACGAAGAACCCGACCGCCGCCGCCGAGTCGACAAAGAAGAAGAACAAGAGCAAGAAGCCGGCCAAGCCCGCGACGCAGCAGCCGCAGGCCGACATCAAGCCCTCCCTCGAGTACCTCCGCGCCTGGAAGCACGCCCGCGCGACCTGGAAGTTCAACAAGAACTACCAGTCCATCCTCATGAAGCGCGTCTTCCACACCGAGGCCATCCCCTCGGCCGACATCGACACCTTCTACGAGTACATCCAGGACCTCAAGGGCTACACGCGGACGCGGCTGCGCGAGACGGCGGACGAGGTCAGGAAGGAGGACGCCGCCCAGGGCAAAGCCGCCTTCCCCGACGGCACGCCGGACGCGGACTCGAAGCAGTCCGAGTACGAGAAGGTCCTGGCCGGGCTGAAGCAGCTCGGCGCCGAGGATGGCAGTAGTAGTGGCAAGAGGAAGCGCTTCGACGAGAGCGGCTTCGTGGCGCAGTCGAGCGACGTCGCCATCACGCAGCGTGTGATCAAGCGCATGCGCGCCGAGACGATATTGGAGGAGCTCGCGGAGAGCGAGGACAGCGATGCCATGACCATTGACACGGAGGAGGCGCCGCCAAAGGCTGCTGCTGCTGCTGTTCAGGAGGAGACGGTCGACAAGAGGGTGAAGCTCAACGACGGCACGAAGCAGAGTGCCTCTCGCCGTCGTAAGCAGCGGACGGCCAACGTCGACAGCAGCTCTGACGAGTCTTCCGATGACGACTCTGACGACGACTCGAGCAGCGACAGCGACTCGTCGGACGACGACTCCGACAACGAGTCCGAGGTGCAGCGCCAGGCTGCGCAGCGGGATGCCGAGGAGACCTCCAGCAGCTCGTCGTCCTCGTCCGAGGAGGAAGACGACGACAGCAGCGATGATGACAGTTCGGAAGAGGAGGAGGTTACTACGAAGAAGAAGAAGTCTGCCGGCAAGAGGTGATAAAGCAGGCAGACGCAAGCCAGATACATGTACAACCTTTGACGTCTTCACACTCGCATGGTTGGGAAACCAGATTAGATGGATCTTTTTGTATTTTTTTGTTCTTGGGGCAGACTGATACCCATGACTCAGGCATATAACTTGGTGAACCCAGCCTCAGGCGGCTGCAGCCAGTTCTTCTCATCATACTTCGTGCCCTCGCCCTCGATGACGTGAAACGTGTAGATAATCCGCCCCTTTTGGCTTAGGTTCTTCTCGCTCTTGTGCAGCAAGTTGCCGTGAATAAGCACCAAGTCGCCAGCCTTCACCTCGCCAGGCACATACGCCCCCTTCCCCTCCTCGCTCTGCGCAGCGTACTCATCCCCCGGCGGGAACCGCGGCCCCTGGTTCTCCACCATCTCCGTGCCCTTGTCCCCGGCCTTCCTCACCAACCGGTTCGCCACGGGCGCCCAGCGGTGGCTGCCCGGCAAGAAGCTCAAGCACCCGTTCTCCAGCGTCGCGTCCTCGAGCGCGTACCAGAACCCCACGGCCGACGGCGGGTCCGTGTACAGGAACGTCGAGTCCTGGTGCGGCGGCACGGCGCCGCCGATCTCGGGCTGCTTGCAGATGACCATGCTCTGCAGGCAGCGGGGGTCCTTGAACCCGAGGCTGCGCGCGACGGCGGCCGGCTTCCCCCGGACGGCGGCGGTCGAGGCCGGGTCCGAGACGGCGGCGAAGGGCGGGGAGAGCACGTGCAGGTAGTGGCCGATCTTGTTGATGGCGCGGGCCTTGGGCTTGGCGAGGTTGCCGGCGTCGTCGAAGGCGTCCTCCTCGAAGAAGAAGCGCACCTTGTCGCCTGAGGTGAGGAAGTAGTCGTCGCCGACGTGGTCTGCCTTCTCGCCGGTGGAGAAGCGCGTCATGGGGTGGTCGGTGAGGGAGAAGTTGTCGAGCAGCGAGTGGGTCTCGGCGAGCAGGCCCTGTACAGTTTCCGGGGAAAGGGCGCCCGGGATGATGAGGTAGCCGTCGCGGTTGAAGGCGGCGAGCTGGGAGGGTGTGAGGCCCTCTTCTTGCGCGGGGACGGTCATATTGGGATGAGTCAACCGGGTTTTTGGACCGCTGGTTTGTGAGGAAGAGAGAGACGGTTTGAGACCTTGAGCTGGGCTCCAGGAGGATATGAAGCTTGAAGGCGTGCGAGTGAGATTGGAGAGGCTTGTTAGGAGCAGATGGGCTCATATAAGTTAGGCCATGGCGCGCCGTTGGATGTTTGACAATTTGGAAGGTGTGAATGCGGGGACCGGAGGGCCCCGCACTTGCCCCCAAGCGCTTATCTCTATCGCCTCAGTGTCGTCACTCTTGTCCAGCCGACAACCTGAGCTTTAGCTGCATCGCGGAATGATGCTTCCAAACAAAGATTGATTGTATATTTCATATGTAAATTATTTGGCAGCGCATGAACCAGATGCGAGCCACTCATCGCTCTCATCATAGCCGCTGACCAAAACAAGGAAAGATGAACTCCTCATTTGGCGAAAAATAATATGCAAACTCCGTTTCCCTTTATGCCTGCAAGAAATGAAAAATGAGCTTCTAGCGTGTTTCGGGCATTCATCATCCAAGTCCATCGTGGATCACGGCAGCGGGTCGTTGAGGAACTCGTAGCCCTCCTCCGGTGGGAGAACAAATGAGGAAATGCCCAGTCCCAAAGCGCAGAGAACAGATACAGATGCACTGACGGTGCAGAGAATCCAGGATGTGTCGAGACCCCAGCCAGGGACGCGGAACTGCTCGTCGTTGTCGAAGAGGTACGCCTAGTATGCTCGTCAGCTCTGTGACCCCGACCCATACTATAACGCAACTGCCTTTGCCGTAGACTTACCACAATGCCCATCAAAATAAATTCAACGGCCGCGACAAAAATCAGAAGGCCAGCGAGGATCTTCCAGCCCGTCTCGCGCTTGTACTTGCCTCCGCTCATGATGACGAGGAAAGTGACCAAAGACGCGAGGTGCATAATTGTCGAGAAGGAGGCGAGGAAGCCGACGGAGCGCCACATGGAGCAGAAATATCTCTCGCCATCTTTGCTACATAATTCGTCGGTCGGGAAGACTTTGCACGCCGGGCCAGGCCCGACGTTGGAGCAGATCTTGTGCAATCCAATGTGTTTTGAGAACTCATTTCCGTCGGTGGCGGTAACGGAGTAAGAAACCCAGTGCGGCAAAATAATGGACGTAACGATCATCGCCGTCGCTGGCAGAGCAGAACGTTAGCCATCGTGAACTGACGATGCATGATGTTGTTGCCGATTGATGTGCTTGAAGCAATCCCCTGGCGCCACCATCGCGCCCAGCTTCGAGCTTCAGAAACGGGCGATGACGACGATGCAAGGGTGGATACCTCGACCGTCGCCCTCCCGTTTTGCCTGCGCGGGGGACCCGTCGAGGGAAATGGTGGTAGGTACTTACCGGCGACAAAAGCCACGAGGGCAGAGCTGTAGACGGAGACTCGTGTCATTTTCGCAGTCGGCAAGGTGTCGTCTTTCGGGACAAAGTTCGCCTTTCTTTCCTCCTCTCTGCCTGGAAAGATTGGTATGAGGCAGGAAGAAAAAGATGCCAAGTTGCTCCCATGGGAAAGAAGGAGGCAACTCGATGGGAAACCTGCAAGTCTTGGGGGGTTGCCTATCAATAGCTGGTGGTGGGCAGACTGGCTGCAGTTATGACGCTACCTGCTTCCCCAAACCGGTAAGCCGTCCAGTGAGTGGTCGAGGCTTGTGGCCGTACGCGTGTGGTGCAGGTGGGTTTGGTAACATGAGAAGGGACGGGGGCTGGATGATGTACCGGGGGCGGGAGGCAGAGGTACAATGCGTTCGTCTCAGAATTGGTGATGCTCACACCAAAACGTGAGGCGTCCGGATGTACCTTGCTCGTCTCTGGCCTCCTGTCGCAGTGTGGCAGGCACAGAGGGAGGCAGGCAACTGCCAGGCAGGGCAGGTAACTACGGCCTTTGCAGCACCAGCCAACCACTCTCGTCCAGCGTAGGTACTCGTCTGTCGTCTCGTCTCGCTGATCGCCCACTGACCACCGACCACCACCACTACCACCATCTTCTCTCCGTCCGGCGGTCACTTCTCACGCACCGTTGCTGCAACCGCCTGCGTCCTGACCAAGATTACCTCGCCCTAGCGTTGACTCGAAATTGTTAGGACGGCCCTTCATCTTCACCTTGCCCTTCACCGCTCGCCCGGCACGGACCAAATTCCGAGATGGGCATCTTGCACCTTGCATTCATCCCACCTCAATTCGCGCATCACTTGCCGCCGGCAGATGGGAAGTGCGTCTTCCTGATGCGACGAATTATTACGCTGGAGAGACGAAATCTCGAGAGAGAGGACACGAATTGGAGAGGCTGGAGCGGAATTATCAAGAAGAAGATTGTCGGCGACGTGGCCATAATTCAACTGCCTAGCCGTGCTAACCGCTTTCCAAACCACCAAGGCAGCTCTGTCAGACGCTTAAAGCAGATCGTGGGGGGTAAACACCAAGACCGTTATCAGCGTCGCCTCTCTGGGCCAACCATCCAATAGGCGCCTAGCTGGTGCCCTCGCAGCCCACGAACGCGTTGCCGTTGGCTCCCGTGTGTGTGATCTGGCCTGCAAGAACGCACTCTTCGTTGATGATAACCCGGTCTGCTCCTGGCTTGCCTACAATCACGAGAAACCTGTCAGCTCAAGCCTCACTTTTTCTTCTCAAATCATGGAGATAGCGCTGCATCGCGGGGGGGGATGGGAGCGGCCAGCCCTGCCGCTAATGCGACTTGGCGAGCTGCGACTAATAGCTTGCACAAGCACCCACGCCCGGATCGCCGATCTCATCACCACCCACGCAAACCGACAAATGCCATTTCCACTGAATCGCTTACCGCCCTTGTAGACACCACTTGTCTTCATCGGAAACTCGACAAAGGGACCCTCGACTCCGTTGAAGTCGAACCCCTCCTGGTTTCGGTACGTGTGCGGATAGCTCGAGCTGCCCGCCGTCGTGCCATCCTCCACGTGCTGGCAAGCCGCATCCGCCGCCGATCTCACCTCGGTCAGCGTGTACTCGGTCTGCCCGCATGAGATTTCGGTGTCGTTGGCCCGCGGCAGCATCCGGACATATCCAGGTCGCTGTCTCGGGAATGCATAGCCTGTGAGGCTCAGAGCCGCGATCATGGCTGCGCCAAGATGCATCTTGATGAGTGCGAAGAAACGAGGGATTCTGAGGCAAAAGAGTGACAAGGGAGATGATGCGGACAAGGAGAGCAGTCAATCTCAAGAAGTACGGCGACTACCACAGCAGAGAACGACGTTTGGGTTGCTGCTTCTCGCGTCCATTCTGTCATCTGGGGATGACCCTTTGCGCTCTTTTGAACGATCTCTCCTCCAAGGTCCAAACCTCTGGCCACCAGCGCGGTTTGGTTCTCCTGAGCGCGACAGTGACAAACTTGCACAGCGCAACCGTGATACCGAAACATGGTTGGCTCTCGCTAGCACAGCTCCAGCGATCCTTATTCTCGCTCTCGTGTCAACTGCCGTGCATGGCAATGCGGTGTTCGGATCCAGAAGTCGTGTTGCCCATGGCTCTTTTGATTGGCTTGACAGCTACTCCTGCACAATCTCACCCCGGCTAATGGGAGGTCGACTTGCGAGTCCTCGGAGAATGGCAAACGTTGATCCCACAATAGAGGGTTGAACGAATGCAACGCGACTCAGGAAACAAAACATCAAAAGTTTATGCATCACGACAGCTGTGCAATTCGAGTGTTGTGAAGCCAATTCAGCGACATTCGAAGCGGATCTCAAGCGGAGGTCGGGCCTTTTGCGGTCTTGTTGACACCTGCGGCCAGGGTCTTTGGGGTCTTCGGCGATCGTACTCTGTACACCCATGAAATTTCAACCGAAATCTCCGCTGAAATCCGATCCGATCTTCACAACAACCTTAGCCGGCTACGAAAAACAAAATAAACGCCAGTTTTATCTACCTGAGCCGTGTTAACGGCGGTCAAGTAAATTGTCCTGGAATAGCATCTGGCCAGGGCAGTCCAGGATGGTCGATTTTGACGTCTGCCAAACGCACGCATCATCGCCTTGTTTGGCCGCATCGATGTCTAACGCATGCTCAAAAAAACATCGATGGATCATAGACTCGCGGAACCCCACCGGATGGACAGGGTTCGGGATGCTTGTGATTCCGACCTCCTGCCTATCTGCTGCTTGGGAGGAACACACACGCCGCACGCTGTCTATCGCGCCCGTATCTTTGTTCGGTCTGGCTCATCGTTCTCGAAGCCAGCTGCCAATGAGCCCCCTTGAATGACTCGATTTCCCGGAACCGGTGGGAGCGCCATCTACGTCCACAAAGCATGAGGCTTGTACTTTTCCAAGCTTTCTCATGGAACTCGAGACTATCCGCCTCGGATCTGATTACCAACCGTCCCTCCTTCGGGGATCCAGTCAGGGTGCCAGGCTCGATCACGCCAGAGGCAGGGCATACAGAGCCATCCCTTCCACGCGCGACATGCCGCACCAAGAGATGGGTTTATCGGCCAGTCATGGCATCCGGATCGGGGAGAGCTACCCACTATGCGTGAAGCTAAGCCAAGGGTAGCCCCGAGTGGAGGGGCAGCAATTAAGGTGAGTTTGGGAAGCTCGCTCGCTTTTCGCGCAGGGTCCTCGGTATCTCTACATATCTTACGTATTCGACCTGCTTTTTCTGCTCTTTAACTCAACTCGCGCGCGCGCTTCGGACAAATTCTCATTAAACCCCGGCCGCCGCAATCTTTCTCAACGTCATGGAATCTGGTTACATCTTTGCTCATCTTTCCAGCTGCTCCCCGCGACTCAATCTCAGGTGAATTGGGCCTTTATTTGTGTGGTTCCGCGCAGCTGTCCTCGCCTGCATATTCCCCCACCAGAGAGCAAACTTTCAAAGGGACGAGGCGCATTGCGAATTTCAGTTTACGGCGACACTTTGACTCTGCTTGATTGATAACGATAACGAAGCCCGCGAACTACTTTTGGACGACAACGTGCGATCGGATCGTCAATTGCTTCACCTCAAGCTGCGTTTACTGTCCGCAATCGAACATCATAATCATGGGAGACTCTCGCTACATGGAGCACCGGCCGGTGCAGACCAGCGCCGTCTACGTGCTGGGCGCTCCTCACTGCGAATCGATGCCGCCCCCGTCGCCGCCTTCACCACCGGTGTCACCGCCGGAGGACGAGTTTCTTGAAGAGTTAGAAGAGCTCAGCTTGGGATCGCCCGATGAGATGCTCGAGACAGAAGAGAACTCGGTCACAGTACAAGATCGTCTTCATGCTGCGACACACGTGCTCAAGACAGAAGCAGCAGCCTTGCGCTCAGTCGCCGCGTTGTACGAGACAGACCCAGTTGCCCGGGACGGCTTCAATCGCACGGTCGCAGCAATCACACGGCACAAGGGCGAGAAGGGTAAGCTCGTGATCACAGGCGTGGGCAAATCCGGACATATTGCCAACAAGCTGGTCGCAACTTTCAACAGCCTCTCCATTGCGTCCGTCTTTTTGAACCCAATCGACGCCCTACACGGCGACCTCGGCATAGTGCAAAAACACGATATCCTAATGTTCATCACCTTCTCCGGCAAGACGTCAGAGCTTTTCAACCTGCTGCCTCACCTGGACAAGCCTACTTCCTTAATCATACTCACGGGACACACCCGGCCGGATACGTGTGAGCTCATCAAGCTGAGGCCGGACACCATTCTCCTCCCGGCACCCATTCACGAAAGCGAAACGGCGTCGTTTGGTGTATCCGCACCCACGACATCTACGACCGTTGCTTTGGCTGTGGGTGATGCGCTCGCCATTGCTGCGGGTCAGGAGTTACATCCTAGCATGTCACAAGTGTTCTCGAAGAATCACCCCGGAGGTGCTATTGGCGCTGCGTTTAGGAAACCGCAGACGATCTTGGACCTCGCCGTTCCCTGGACGGACATCCCAGATTTGGTGGGCTTATGTACAGACAGCGTCGGCGCGGACCTCTTCCGGGCAGCGTACGACTCGACCTCGGGCTGGGTCCGCATAGGCAACGACGTTGCGTCCCCGGGCCGGATCAGGAAACTGGCGACGGAGGACTTTGCGCGGTGCCTAAAGGAGATCCCGGGGCTGATGGTGCCCAGAGCGGAGATGCTATCCATCTCGTCGGAGACGACGGTACGGCGGGCGGTGAACTTTGTGAGGAACATGCAAGGAGCGGCCGACGATGGCGAGTACGTCTGCCGTGCGGATTCTATACTGGCTGTGCTTGACCAGGGCGATATGGTTGGCGTTTTGGAGGTCGGAAAGCTTCTGGAATGGAAGGACTGAAAGATACATTGGGAGACACTTCTTGCTGGGCGACTGGCGGTTATGGGAGGTTTTGAAGACACGGTACTCGAAAAGAGGATATTATGAAAGCTTGTAGCGAAGAGCTCATGCCGGGGGAGGCACATATTGGAATCTTTACATCGTACGGCCTTTGAGCCACAGACGATAAACGTCGATAGAGCGTTTGGGGAAGGAATGCGAGGGGACCGGAACTGGGTCCGACGAAATTCAAAGCCGCGTGTGTTGAAGCTGGCTATCACCAACTCTCCACTACAGAGAACAAAGGACCTGAACTTGAAGGAAAAGCATGTGAATCGCGATGTTGGGCTGGATTGGTTTGCTTCCTTTGGTGCCCAAAGCTCCTTTCGATTCCTGTAATGACGGGCTCTTTAGCTCGGGTCTTGTACAGGCAAGATCCCTCCCGCGAAGCAGCTTCCCTCATGAACAACGCATAAACGCCGCCCGTCGGGCCGCCATCGTTCGGGCTTTCTCCAAGAGGTGCCTGCGGTTGGGGCATGGCGGACATCACTCATCCAATTCGCAAGGCTGAAAGATGTCGGGGAATGGAATCCGACGGCGGTGTGGGAAAGTTTGACCCCCAAATTCCACAGTCGCCGATGGGGGCCCCCGCCTCGGGCATCGTGTAGGAACCTGAAGGGGGTCCCGTCTCCATCTTTCACAGTGCGGTGGACTTTGGCAAGCTTCTGGATATTAATTATGAGACAGCGGGCTGAATTGGAATCATGGAGTTTGGGATGGGGATTGCGTGGCTTGCGGTGTCCGGCGCATCGGGAGCCTGTGGACGTCGTATGCAAAGTCCTCGGGCCGGGCGACGAGACGTGAACATGCTGCAGCGACGTGAACCTGTCCCCACCTCCGAGCCGGCGCCGGCTTGCGGGGGTCGCACCGGGTGTAGAGATACGTGGCCCCGGGCTTGGCGACTATCATGTTTGATGCCGTGGTTTGCGCAATAGAATCAGGTGGTTCATAGAATGTGGTATTCGATTTCATTTTATCTGCCCAGAGGCGGTGCGAATGTGAACCAGGGTGCTGTCGGTCGTCGTGATACCGGATGCTCGTGGGCCTTTAGAAGGTAGGCAGACACTAATCTGAGTCTTCTCGTCTGCGTCCTTAGCTACTATGTCTCACTTCTCTGTTACTGTCACCATCTATCGTCATCGGTGTTGCTGTCTCTATCGTAATCTCTGCCCGCCTCCCTTGTCTTTGATCACAAGCTCTATTTCGACATGGGTCGTACCGACAGACTTCTTCTGTTTAGTTCACACATCCGAGTCAGAGCATCTCGTTCAACAATTCTGGAACACTGGAATGTTAGTAGGCGCTCGCCTCCTTTTTCAATAGATTGTTGCGGCCAGCGGCGCCGACTGTAAATCTTCTTCTTCCACAGCAACTGTGCCGTTGTCTGGGATGGTTGCCATGGAGAGATGCGCCTAGTAGCAAGCGGCGGCGGGTGGGGGCGGTTACTCAAGAAGAGAAAGGGAAGGAGACAGAATGAACTAATTAGAGACGCGCGCTATGGTCTCGGACTGCGGACACTGTGCTGAGGCTTTTTTTCTCGCTCGAAAGTTCAACAATGGACTATGCTGAAAAGGGGTCCTGATCCCAAGCGCTAGGAAGGGCTTGACCGTTGGACGTGGCGCTAGAATCCGTGTGGCGGGTTATGGTTGCTTCTTTTTTCGATCGATGGTGAGACTTGGAGGGAGGTTGTCACTTGGGGTGTTTCGGTGTACCTCCAGCAAGTGACGACGACGCTGATGGCAGGAACGGCACGGATGAGAAGATTAGTGATAGATGGTCTCTTGCGGGCCTGGATGCGGCCTTGGTCGCAGAGTGCCAGATGAACACGGACTCGAGAGAGACGAAAAACGTTCGTCTTCGTCATGAACTTGCATCGGAATGCAAGTTGTGTGTCTTGGGAAGTCTTGGAGGAATGCGGGAAGACGTACGTCCAACACGTAATCCCTCCGCCGCGGAGACGGGTAAGACCGAACGGCAAGGCGTGCATTGTCTGGGAACGGCCCCTTGTGCATATGAGAGTGTGCCTTGTTAGGCACTTTTTGACGTCGTCTTCTGTTGGATGGACTTGGGAATCCACAATGACGATCTATCGCGATTTAAACGAAAGGAAGCTTAAATGGTTGGGATTGTGTGTTTTTGCTTCTATTTTTGTTGGTTTGCTGGCGGGGCAGGTCGACGTCAGCTCTTTTTTCTGCACAGCTTGGCGGTGGGGCAGGTCGGACCTGTTGATGGGAACAGCCGGTTTGCGTGAGAAGCATGCCAGCAACGTCAATGTAGCAAACGTGTCAATGTAGCAAACGTCTGTTAAATGAATAGACGGAATGCGCAATTCTGCCAAGTCCTCGCTCGGACGAACCGTCTGATTCGAATACACTTTGTCGGTCCCGAAGCAGTCACCAACTTGGTGAATACTAGAGCAGTGCACTATCGTGTGAGCCCGGCCGGCGTGTTGTGTCATTCAAGGCGGGGTTCCAAAGGTCTAGAAACCGGCGATCGGGTCGCGTCAAATTGATTGGGGGCAGCGTTTTCGGAATCATGACATGAAGAACCGTCGAGAAAAGGGCTTTGATTGGTTCATGATGTTGTCTTCGCTTCCAGAGTCTGTTTCGACGATTCTCATTGGGGTGGCGCCAAAGCTGGGGCGCGTCACCCATTGAGGCTCAGTCTTCGGGATGATGTGCATATCCCCCGTTGGCCCCATCGGTGTTTTCACCAATGCCTTGCAGCTGCGGATTGGACGGCGCCTTTTCGTTTTCTGAACGGAAACACGCCAATACGTCTTTCCAGCGAGCAGCTTGGACCGGCAAAGAAATGATTCGAGGGACTTTGGGCTCGTCCACGTCCGCGAAGGTTTCGTAGCTTGTTTATTTGAAGGTTTTGCCCGGTTCGAGTCTTGTCAGCTCGACAGGGAACATAGCACAAGCGGATAGTCGGCGCCAAGGCATCTGTCCCTTCGAGAAGTGCTCGTTCGGGCCCGATGCGTTGTTCCCCAACCTCCAATCGTCTGATTGAGCGGGAAAGTAAAAAAGTGACAGCTGCGACCGCCTTCTTGACGGCTTTGATCGCTCGGTTAGGTTGTCAATGTCCGTTTCGGCGAGGTTGAAGAAGTCGCTGAATGTACGGTCAAGACTGCTTTGGCAGTGTCCGTGGAACTGCAATGCAGCATAGGCATTTACCGAGAGCCAAGCGAGTCACGTCGACGAACCGCAATCAGACACGTCCAGACTCTGCCCATCCCGCAGTGACAGGTAGAGTGAGCCGAAGTGGCTCAGTTGTGAGATAGCTTGTAGGGCTCCCCGGACAGTGGAGTTTTGGCGAGGAGCGGGAAGAAGAGCCTTTAGGGTGCAGACATGGTTTCTTGTGGCCTCACTTTCGCAAGCGAGCAAGATTGACCGCGATACGGATGCGCAGTCGGGTTTCTGGGAGATGAAAGAGTTGAAAAAAAGGTTTGCCGGGCTGGAAGGGACCGGCTTCGAGAACCCCTGCAAGGCGCAACTCAGGGCGATGAACCCCTGCTGCGGACTGCGGCGGCGGGACATCAACCTCTCTTTTTGCTGCTGGGGCCTTGCTTGCCCTGCCCTGGCCTGGCTGTCCTGTCCTGCCCGCCCTGGGTCAGGGTTCTTCAAGGGACAGCGGGAGGGCGCGATGTTGGCTTGGATGCTGGATCTGGGTTGGATGGGTGGGCAAGCGAGAGAGCGGGTGGTGAGATTGCGATGAGAGAGACGGACCAACCTCTCCTATTACCTCAGTTTGACGCTCGATAACTGATGCGGATGGCATGAATGGGCGGTCGTCTCATCGGACTCTGCGAGTGCCCTGTTTCTGGCATTTGTTTGGATGCCTGGGAGGGTGGTTTTTGGGGGGGAGTGACAAAAGTGACAGGCCACGGCAGGTGTCTCGCGTTTTCCCAGCCCGGCCGACCAGCCACAGCATATTCCCCAATCCAGGTGCTCGGTGGAGACAGGGTGGGGTCTTGCCGCCCCTCATTCGCCCAGCCACCACACGCGCGGCCTGGGGATGGCCCCTGCACGCAGCACAATGTACAGTGCGGCTTCTGTCTTTTTGGCGCTTGGCCTTGGCGCTTGTCCTGTTTTAGCGGCACTCTACTCGGTTCGTACCTGCTGAGTTTCTTTCCCTCAGCGCCGGGAGGGGAAGAGGGAGAAAAAAAAACTACGAGGCAGGTAAGGCGCGCCATCGCTGATCGAGGTTAGCTGGACCTGTCGTCCGTTGCAACAGAGCTAGGAGATACCTGCAGCCAGTGGCAGGACACCCGTGAGGCCCAGGTACCAAGCTCTTGCCTGCACCGGTTTTTCCAGGTACGCAGTACGGATCCTGGGTAAGGTACCTGACCTGAACCAGGCAGGTTCCACACCCCACTCCAACTGGACTCCAATTGCTAGAGTAGGTACCTGTTGCTGCATGCACGTCTGCTTCTGCTTCTGCTTCTGCTGCTCCTCCAGCTGCTGCATGCCCGTCGCCGCCGCCTGCCCTGCGCCAGCCAAATAACAATCATCATTCATCATCTGCCTCCTCCCACCCGCTGCTGCTACGCTCCCGACTTTGCCTCGCCTTGCCTTGCCTCACGCTGCGCTGCGTTGCTTGGCTCGTTCTTGCTTAGCTTTGCTCTTCCTGATCTGATCTGACCGGGTGTCTTTCTGTCTTTCTTCCTCTCGCACACACACGCACGCACAAACTCACACACTCTCTTCTCCCTCACCCTCACTTCCTCTCTTCACCTCCCCCTCTCACCCCGTCATCGTCGCCGTTTGCCATTCATTCCTCGGCTCAGACGCAGACTCGGGTGCTGGCTCCCTGCCTTCTTTCTCTCCATCGCCAACATCGTCCTTGTTTCACCCGTTGTTTGTGTCTCTGCCCTATCGTCATATTTCTCTCGCCTGGAGCCCTCCATTGTTTTGATACCCGTCTCTCAAGCAAAAAAGACGAACCGAGCCGCCAATGTA